GACCCTACTCCTTGCCACGTACAACCGGGGATTCGAAACCACGCCAGTCGACTCAATGACAGACTTTATGATACAGCGCGCGCACGCTAACCATTCAGCCATGCAACCCCCTCCAAAGAGACAGACAGTGATCATCATTTAAATGTAATGTAATGTAACTACGGTGCGCAAGAGTTTTAGTTTGTACACCAGAATATGTCAAACATACTGCATGCATAAAAATGGGATTTAACATCCTATCTGTCTGCACCAACCAGGATAATGAAGACGGGTATAGGACCTGCAGTGTGCAATAAGAGACATTCTGCTCACACGGCGCCGTTTCAGACCAATTTAAACTCTTATTTTATGTGCAATTTTAACTCATATTATTTTTGTAAAATTAACCGGTTAGGTGGGTGGGGCTGGTTGTTGGGGTGGGGCGTTGCTAAATTCTTGAGTACACCACGAAAACCAAGGTCCCGTTTTCACGTTGGCGTGAACCTAACAGATCCTTGGCAGTCGGAATTCGATATAAGAGTAGGTCGTAGCGCCGCTGTCTTCATTATCCCAGTTGGAGCAGAACAATAGGGCGTTAAACTCCATTTCATTTCATTGATTATCTTACTGACACACACGAGAAGATGCGACGGTCTTCATCGCTTGAAACTAAATGCAGATCTAACCGAAGTTATCCTTTTTGCCTCCAAACCTCGATTATCGGACCTCTCACACTTAAAAATGGTTATGGGAGATATGGAATTTGCAAGAGATGGATAGAGAACAAGCTAAACCAGCGGCTGCCAGGCAGGATACGCCCACATTTTCGAGAGATGGATAAAGAACAAGCTAAGAAGAAAGTGATTTTTCCTACAATCAAGGGCCATAATTCAGGAAATTACTATTCGATATGCGCAAATATCGAAAGGAACCGAGTTCTTGGTGTTATAAACTTACATTGCAAGTTTCAACAAAATCGGATAAAAATTGTGACTTCTATAGGGTTCACAACTTTGATATACCCTATTTTTACGCTATTTGAGAAAGAAGGGCGGTCATTTTATCTGTCAGATTTTCACGAAATTCGAACTCAGTCGTGCTTAGGGTGTAATGGTGATATAATAATACGTTTTTTTTTTAAATCGGATAAAAATTATGACCTCTATAGGGTCCGCAAGCTAAAAACGCGATTTTTCGTACAATCAGGGCCCATAATTCAGGAAGTTACGGTCCGATATGCGCGAATATCGAAAGGAACCGAGGTCTTTGGGTTATAAACTAACATTTCAAGTTTCAAAAAAATCGGATAAAAATTGTGACCTCTATAGGGTCCACAAGCTAAAAACGTGATTTTTCGTACAATCAGGGGCCATAATCCATGAAGTTTGGATCCGATACATGCCAATATCGAAAGCAGCCGAGATCTTTTGGGGATAAACCTATATTTCAGGTTTCTTCAAAATCGGATAAGAATTGTGACCTGTAGAGAGTCCACAAACAATTGTGGACGGACGGACGGACAGGGGCGACGGCATAATACGTCCACATGAAAATGTGGGCGTATAAAAAAGAAAGCGATTTTTCGTACTATCAAGGGCCATAGTCCAGGAAGTTATGGTGAGAAATGCGCGAATATCGAAAAGAAATCTGGGATATTTTAAGTTTCATCAAAATCGGATAAAAACCTTGGTATTACATACTTTTACACTATTTGTGTACAAGGAGTGGCCATTTTGTCAGGCAGTTTAGGTTAGATTTTTACGAAATGCGAACTCAACCTTCAAGGATGTTTAACGGTGATATAGTTAAACGTTTTCTAAAATTGAATACAAAGTGTGACTTCCAGCGGGTCCTCAAGCTAAAAATGCGATTTTTCGAACAATCAGGGGCCATAATCCAGGAAGTTACGTTCGGATATGCGCGATTATCGAAAACTGGATCAAACTAGTGGCCTCTAGAGTGTCCACGAGCTAAAGACCTGCGTGATTTTTCGTATAATCAGGGACTATTATCCATAAAGTTTCGATCCGATACATGCCAATATCAAAAGGAACTGAGATCTTTTGGAGATAAACAGATATTCCAAGTTTCGTCAAAATCGGGTGTCCAACAGGGGCGACAATATACGTCCACGTGAGAATGTGGGCGTATAAAATATAGAGTGGAAACTTGCAAACTTTGGACAAAGTGCGTTTGCTGTTGCCGTTGTTGAAAGATGGAATTCACTTCCAGCCACAAAACAATATTCAAATCTCGATTAAATACTCACCTTTTCAAAATTCACTTCAAAAATTGACAAAAAAAACTTAGAGCCAATGAACTTTTGTATATAGTTTTTATATGCGCTATGAGCACGTTTTGTGGATTTGGCGCTATATAAATGGACATATTAATTATGTCCAAAGTGATGTCTAACCGGTCAAAATCTGAAAACAAGCATTTTATTTACCCAATAATACTATTTCAGTCAAATACTTATTAATACTATTTTTAAATACTGGTAAAGCTTCTACCAATTTTTAACACCATCGCCGTCTACAAATTTTATTTATGTTATAGAATAAACAGATTCCAAATATTTGTGTCTTTAAACTGCTTTAGTATAATCATTTGCATGTAATCAGGGGCGTTTTAAGGTGTATCATGGTGGAGGCTATACTATTTTGAGACCCCTCTTTCGCGGGGGGGGGGGGGGGGGGGTCACTGCCCCCCGGCCACCGGAGGTCGAGAAATTTTGCAAAATAGAACACATTTTGGTGCATTCTGACAAATCCTCCAGTGACAGTGTATAGAAAACGATTGACTCGGACTCGGGGGCCCTTTCCCTTGGCCAGAGGGGCCCTTTTGTCTGCCTTTAGGGCCCTTTTTGTCTGCCTTTAGGGCCCTTTTTGTCTGCCTTTAGGGCCCTCCCTAACTAGGGTATATTTTCTAGGGTATATTGTCTGCCTTTAGGGCCCTTTTTGTCTGCCTTTAGGGCCCTTTTTGTCTGCCTTTAGGGCCCTCCCTAACTAGGGTATATTTTCATTTTTCTCATCGGTTTTAGCATTTTTATCCCGTTTTATTTGTTCAACTTCCTTTATTTTTTTCGAGAGAAGGCTGGAGCGCCTCAGCTATAAAACGTTTTTGCATGTAATGTTTAAATTATTGTCCGTGGTCATACCGTTTTTGTTTTGGGAACATCCCATGGCCAGCAAATGAAATGAAATGGGGTTTAACGTCCTATTTTTCCGCGCCAACTCTTATATCAAATTTCAACTGTCCAGGGTACCTGGGTTTTCGTTCCATCCGATGAACGACTATAATATACACTGTTCTTGCCTGGCCCCCTTCCTGCACCACCGTCAAGGGGACACCACACTGGAAAACCCCGACGAACCTCATATCGATGCGAAACCACGAGGGACTGAGTTAAAAGACCATTTGTCTTATGCTAGCTTCCCACTATTCCTTGGCAGTTGTAATTCGATATAAGAGTGGGCCGTAGCGCCGCTGTTCTGGCAAAATTTCCTTCATAGCACACTGTATGGAGAAGGAGGTTAAACCCCATTTCATTTCATTTAATGACATTTCAGGTACATACTGCTATATTTATTAGTTATTACGTTTTAACATTGATCAATCAATATAAACAGTGGGATTTAACGTCCACTTGACACAAACTAGGTCATTTTGGGACTAACACATGGTTCAATTTTATTTCAATAATTCACTTGCGCATAGGGGTCTTTAGCGGTGGGGGAAGCTGGAGGACCCAGAGAAAACACACGAGGTTGTAACATACAACCGGGGAATCGAAACCATTCGGCCATCCAAACCCCACCATAAATAGTATAAACATTACCATTTTTAGTCTCAAGGTATTATGAAGCAGACAAGGCAAACTACACTAATATTGTGAGCAATAAACAACGAATATCAAACATGGTGAATGGATCTAGGGGGCACCCTAATTGTCCTCTGCGCTATACTGACCTTAGCGGCATGTTGTAGCGTACCTAAGGGGAGGGGGCACTCCGGGCGACACTTTTGCAGTGGTTTGTGTGCCTGAAAAGTAGAAGACACTGGATAAAATTTTAATTTTCCACTATGACAACACTTTTTAACAGTTTGGTGTGTATATTGTGTTGTGTTTTTGGTAGGGAGTACGGGATTAGCTCAAGCACGGCCATGATCCATGTGGCGAGTAATATAAATACTGTCACGGTGTCAGTTTATATTAGTAGATCGATATTAATGGTACAGTGGGACACTGTAGTTGTGCTGTTTTAGCAGGTGGTTCTGTATTTAATGTTTAGCTTCAAATCATTGTTGGCAAATTGTTAAAATTTGTTGAGAATAATCACGAACTATGGGGTTCCTTTTGTCACTTAGATTAAAATGATCTGTCTAGATTAGATAATGAGTGTCAGGTTTACAACTGTTTACTTTCCCCAAAAGGTGTTGAGTAATTAACAGACTAATTAATTACTCAACACTGCTCGGCAAAGTAAACAGTTGTAAATCCAATCTATTCTAATGGTTGTATAAAACATAGTGTGAATTGACAACTTGGATGTTGCCTTTCTGGATGACCTGTGTTCTAATCAATTGTTTGTTGGAGTAGCTTTTAATTCGAGAATTTTGTGATCAGTTCATGGGTCTGTCTGTAAGCTTTTTTTTCAGAACAGTATAAGCCTGAGGCCAAGAAACATGTTTAAACTCAAATAATGATTAATACCATCAGCAAACAACCTACTCTAACTTGTGTTTGTTTTTTTTGTTTTTTAAAAAGTTTCCTTTTCCTAGGGCCTACCCCCACTCCTAGATCCTGTCTAGATTGCACCAGAGTGCATGAGCTAAAAGATCATTCAAAATTATTGCTGACATATATGAATATCATTATTGAATAACAAAACAATTCAGATTTCAAATGTATGCCATATTGTAAGTTTCTTTTGGGAATAAGGGACTCAGTTGAGCTCTGGGTGACCAGCCAATTAGAATTGTCTGCATTACTTCACTTCAAGAAACAACCATGATAATCACAATGTAAATATTTAATTAACGATTATTATGAAATGAAACAAAATGATCAAAATTATTCAGGTCTTTGTTCAATTAAATCAATTATTTTACTTCCAGTCCATCTGTCTTCATCATCAATCACAGATTTTACCCAACACTGTTTAAATCAAATATTTAATAAGTCTTTTTTCTTTGTTCCCCCCCATTTTCCCTTGGACTATTTGTTAATGTTAAATCCCATGTAGATAATCTCAGCTTGTCATTGGTTCATCCTCAACTTCAACTTCTAAACGTCTTGGTGCGTAAAGTAAAACATAAGCACAATGCCAATCACCTGTAATAATTATTACATGCACATATTAAATTATTATATCTATAGAGATTGACACGAGTGTGTGTGTGTGTGTGTGTGATCGTGATCGGGGTGAATTCTAGATTGCAGACAATTTTTCACACCCCTGCTGAAAATCAAACTGGTCTCAGCCATGATGTGATCACTGGTTTGTTCACACAAATTATGAAGAGGATTATAAATGATACTCTATTATGAAATTGATTTTAAGTAACCAGAGATAACACAAAGTTTAGTGGTAAGGGTTTCTGGACTGTTGTTAATGCTAAGTTTCAAGTAGTCTCCTAAATAGTTATACCTAGTGAAAAGCATGAAATTATGATCTTAATGAACACATTTCTTTATAGTTTTGAGCATACAACTAGTTTCTGAGGGAGGATAAACCTTTTACCACCTCTGCTACAATCATAATAAGAGTTTAACAATAGATACAACAATAAACATGTCGGAGAACATAGATACATGTTGAATGACCAGATTGAGGCCTCAAATTGTCTTATCGGTGGAAGCTATTTGTGAATGACTCACAACATAATTAACCTCAAGAGAATGGCCTCACATCAGTCATTGTGAATTAAATAGCTTCTCTGTCTCAATATGTCCTTGGAGTAATTTTAAAAATCCAATTTTGTTTTTATTGAAACTGAAAAACAGAGTATTAGTTACAAGAACTGGTCAATCTCAGATGAATCAATACCTACCTCCTCCAGATAATTTAAGAATATCTTCTGACATGACTGGTGACACTCTATCATCATCAAACATAAGCCATTCATCTAAAAAAAAAAACAACAGGCATAATATTTCTAATCCTGTAACCTGGGGATGCACTATGACATTAATATTGATAGCCTGGTTCTGTTCAGTATAACACAAATTTTTGGGCCCACATTAAGTTAGAAATTTCCACCTCTCGCCCTGCACTAATACCACTGTAAAGTTGATATTGTTGATTAAGCAACAAATAACTTTATAAATGAAAATATACGACACTAATAGATCAAAGTCATCAGTTTATACATAATGTGTATTAGTTAAAATTGTTAGTAATAGGCAGTAGTTTTTAAGTAGGTGTTTTGTCACTAAGGTGTTAAAACTGTGACTGTTGAATGATATACACCACTATTGGTTAGGTTTGTGTATTCAATAGTGATGGGTGTTATAAATAGTCACATGTTTTACAGAGTTGTCTACGATATCACCTTAGGTGGAAGTGGACGTAAAACCTCAGAAACCAACCAACCAACAGCTAGTTACACACTTACTAATTAATTAATGTATAATTTCTAACCACTTTCTATACATACTAAACATTAGTTTAGAATACTGACTACTCATATGATTTAATGACAAAAATTGGCATTACTTCATTAGTCAATGTATCAGCTTACATGTGACAGTAAACAATATTTACCATGGCAACGGGTGTGGAATATTGTAACGTATTATCATTACAAGTTAGTCAGGTTACACAGTTATACAGATAAAACTTTACAAGTTCATCAAGAAATACAATAATAACTTGAACATATATAGAAGAAGTATCATGACTATGGCTTTCAATTAATTATTTTGAATTGAAGATATATCAATCATGCAATTGAGTAAAATCTTTAATTAGAATTACCTCCCTTCCTTCTGACCCAGCCTACATAATGGCCACTGGAGCTAGATCGACCTTTATGCGTCAGTACAGCTTTTAATTCATAATAACCACTATTATTAGATCCTATATCTGAAAAAAAGGAGATAATGGGTAACTGGATGACACACAAAAATTTGTTTTGGACAAAAAAGAGCCTTGTTGTGAGTCCCTGCTACTATTTTTTTCTGGTGGGTGAGTGCAAGTACAGATGGAGATGATATACTTGTTTGTTCCTAAAATAATAAAATAATGAAATGGGGTTTAACGTTCTACTGTTCTGCACCGACCTGGGCTAATGAAGATGGGCATACGCCATACAGTGTGCTATGAAAGAAATTTTGCCCGGACAGCGGCACTACGGCCTGCTCTTATACCAAATTCCAACTGCCAAGGGATCTTTTACGTGCACGCCAATGTGGACACAGGACCTCGGTTTTTCATCTCATCCAAATTACTAGACAGCTGTCCTTCTCAGGCCCTCCGTCCTGTATCACTAACAAGTGTGGAACCATGCCGGAAAATCTGGATGAACTTTCTCGGCCAATGCAGGGATCGAACACCCGACCTCCAGGCTAGCGAGACAGTGTCTTAGCCACCATGAACCCCATTGTTCCTTGTGGTAGTAGAAATGAAATGTGGTTTAGCTTACTACTTTTCTGCACCACAGAGGTACTAGAATTATAGGATCAAATTAATAAACCAAATACGCATTGACTAAATAGGGGTGTAATTATCTAACGCATGCACTTTAGATCATAAGGTCTGTCATTAAGTCAAGTGGTGTGGTTTTGATACTCATTTTTCAAAAAATAATCTAGTTTTCATTAAACATATCTCTGTAAAAATTGTCCATACCATCATCAAAGCTATATGGTTCTTTTCTTGTTTTCTTCTCTACTTTTTTTTCTTCACCTGGGTTTTGTTTAATCTAAATAGTTGTTTGAAATCAAAAGTATTACAAGAACAAGCCAACATACATTATCTTTTTATTTAATTGTCTTTTAGAAATACATAAAAAGATGCTATGTAAAATGGAAAAAACAATATTGTACCCGGTATGCCAAATTAAATAGTTAAACATGAACAATTCTGTTAAAAAATATTTTCATTACATAGAACATGTCTGTTTATATTAAAGCATTATAAAAATATGGCCACACAGCAGTGCCTTTAAAAAAAAAAACCCACGTGAATCAGGGTACCCCACACATCCAGACACAAGCTGTAATAGGAGTTGTTGTTAAGCAGTAACATTAGGAGAGAGAGAGAGAGAGAGAGAGAGAAAGAGAGAGAGGGAGATGGGGTTTAACATCCACTCTGCACAAACTAGGTCATTTCGGGACTAACATATATATGTCTAATTAGCATTGTTCAAGACAATCACGGACTAGCACTGCTGAGGTCAATCACAGATTAGCACTGCTCATGTCAATCACAGATTAGCACAATTTGAAATCAAGAGCCTGTAACCGATGTAGCAATGAGTAATAGCTGTGTGGGGACTTATAAAATACAACATGACTGTTTAATTAGTGATGATAAACTGGGGAAACTAAGGTAAGGCATGCCATAAAATATGAATACGAGGCATGCTTATCAATATTCAGGAATTTTTCTTTATCATGCTACTAAAGTAAATCCTTTACCTTTTGAGATTGTTCTAGAAATTTATCTTCCTGTTCTTTAAACCTAGTTCTCATTGGTACCAATTTAGCTTGTAATTCTGGTGTACATAAATCAAATACATCTAAACTCATCGTAAATTTCACATCCTATAATAATGTATATAAATAACCATAATACAATACAATCATTGTCAGAGATATATAGCAAAAATCTACTGTATCATTTGTCTCCCTACTTAACCTTATAAAAATAAAGTTATATACAATAGAATATGTCAACTGACACATCATATTATGAAATTGATGCTGGTGGTGGTCACAACTATTTTTATTTTTCCTGTTGACCTGTCAATTCTTTAAAAATGTATATGACTTGGAATAAGCACTATAAAAAAATCCTTGCGATGATGGATAAATGTGCTAGACAGACCTTGTCTATTACTATTCATTACTATTTCCAGAAGGCCTTTCATGCTCTATTCAAGAAAATAGCTTTCTAATTAAATAACATCTTCTCTAATAAATTGGAAGAATCACTTCCTTTTTGAAGCAGTCTGTAAATAGATATCTCCTCATCATGCTTACCTTCAAGATTTTAGCATTTATAGATTCTTTTTCCTTATAATAAAATCTGACAAACTGTATTGTAAGATATCCTGGTAACCTACTTATTTTACTCTGTAAAATATAATATATCTATCTTATAGTAATAAAATATATCATTGTTATATAATTAATGTCTAACGGATAGCAATAAATCTTGACATTAAATCAAATAATTCACAAAAGCTGTAATAGCACCATAGTGGATGGAATTCTTGTGTTCTACAAATAACTCAATAACAATATTAAAGCGATTTACTAACTGGCATGGACATAAAGACCATTCCCTCTGAGCTGTGCACAGACACACAAAGGAAATATATTCTGGTTATCAGATACCACAGCCCATTATTATTTAGGCATGAGAGATAGAATGAGCCAAATTGTCTTTAAAGAATTTAATGTTTACATTTATAAAAATATTTTGCTCACAAACTATTGTCATAGGAATCTATTATTGTTAAGTTTTTGTGTTCACAAATCTTAATATATTTCAAGAGCTTTGTTTGGTAATAAGTACTAGTTGAAACAACAAATGACTTACAGTTTTAGTATAAACTGCATCTCGACCTAATGTGGGAGAATTCTTTGTAATTGATTCCTGTAACCTCTGAAATCACATATAATAAGATTTTATATAGAAAATAGTGTTTGGATAAAAACAATAATTGACAATCTCAATGTACAAAAATGTGCACGACTATGTTTAAAAAAACAGTATAGTAAATTATCTCACGACTCAAAACTTAGTAATTAATACAAAGCAGATAAACTGTCAAATTAAATTCTATATTAAATTTGATAAAAAATACTTACAGATCTTAAACCAGTATTCATATACTTTACTTCTGCAATCATCAAAAAAATATATAGGCACATATAGTATTTCATGACCAGATAAAATTAAACAAAATACATTAACAAAATTAAATTGTATGCACTTATTTTAAGTCTATATACAGCGGACTCTGTCACATCTGACATCGTACGGGATCGTTACAATATTTCGGATCACACAGCCTGTCAGAATACCGAGCTTTCTCCGAAACCGGAAATACTGTAACTTCGAAAACCGGAAGTATTTTTATATTGTAGCTTCGAATCACCAGAATGCTATTCCCTTTAAAAATGATAAACCTTTCTGTACTTTCAATGCATAATGATTCTTCAATCATGGCAATTTTTATATAATGTCGCGGTATTTGACATGAGTAACTAAAATCAAATACCAAGCGCACTCTTACAAGAGATAATAATTGTTGAATAATCAACAAAGAATTTATAACATTATCAAAGTAATCAACATATACCGGCACTTGCGAGTTTTAATCTCACCGATAATTGATTGGTGATTGCTTGTTAATCTTTTCTGGCTTCACACCCATTGAGTTTTAATCTCACCGATAATTGGATGCTTCACACCCACCGTTTGAAGTACGGATTATACGGTGTCGTTTAAAAGGAAATTATGTGACGGGACGACTAATTGGGACGACTGATTGATGTCGTAATCCGGAACATACAGAATCCGGATTTACCAGCGATTTTTTGGCTGAAGTAATAAGGAAATAAATCGGGACATGAAAATCATGTCGGATGTCACAGCAAATCGGAGTGATCAGACATTGAATGTGACAAAGTCCACTGTATATGCTCCTTAATCTGTCTAGTTTTATTACCTTTTTCTATAAAACAGGAAAGCTGATAAAATTTTTCTGTTCCCTTTGTTTCTATTTCATCTTCTGCTTCTACACATTTCATACTGATGGAGGTTAAAGATTGTTAGACAGGATATTACATTAAACGCAATTCAAATTTAATCTATTAAAAAATCTGTAGAGTGGTGAACAGCCTTCCTAGATTTCTCTCTGTAAGCGAATAGTTTCATTCTAATTCAAACTCTTCAGACGTAATTGAGAATGTGCGGCTGGCCCCCTATATATATAATCGATGGGGAACAGAGTAAGTGTGAGATCACAGATGGACCAGTGTCAAGTCTATATCATCACTCGAGTTGATTTTTCCAAAAAGTGTGAACAGACATTTGGCTAGGGAATTGCAATTAGAAATATGCCTACTATGCTGTTTAAATGTACCTGTATATAAACAAATGGGGACTATTGAACTAACCTTGTTGGGTTAATGAAGTGAATGCACTAATTATTCATTAGTGACCGCATCTAATTTTATATTGGAACTGTAAAATGAATGCATTATGACCAAATTGATCAATATTAACCCGACAAAACATGATGTGCAAATACTGGGGTTATCTGGTATTTGCACATCATGTTTTGTCGGGTTAATATTGATCAATTTGGTCATAATGCATTCATTTTACAGTTCCAATATCTGGTTATCTGGTGTTGGAGATGTCAAATCAATGTTAATTTCATAAATTGTGCATGTGCATAGATGTAGCTAGGTGTAATTAGCTGATTACATGTTAACTTTCTGTTCCAGAATCTCAAATGTTAAAATAACCAGCCATATAGTTATTTGGTAATTTAAAGGATACGTAGTTTCATATTCTCCACCTAAATATTGATCTATAAACCCTTGAATTGATCCTGCACTTGAACTTTGACCCTCATTCTCACCGGGAAGTTTCTGTTGTAAACTTCGTACTATTTCTGTCCAGCATTCGTTAGCATCCTGAAAGGCAAACAGAATTATAAACAATTTATAATAGTGATAAAAAAAAACAATATTTTGTCCTGTCACATAATTAAATAGGAGAAATTTTGCTGGTATCTACTTTACTCGGAAGCCTGTAATGTTATCCAGATATCTGGATATATTTATAGGAATAATAAACCAATATCTTACCTGTTGCTGATATCCACCTTCATCACTTTTCTCAGCAAATCTAGGGAAAGCCATGTGAAGTATTTGAAGGAATATTATTGGTGGAATTGCAGTTCCTGATCGATCCATTGTTTGATATAGATCTCGTAAGGCTGTAAAAAATGTACAGTGTTTAAATTCCTATTAGTTAAAAATACCCATTAATTGAAACATACAAAGTACTGGAATATATATTACAAGTGAAAAATATCGGCCAGATTACAAAGTACAGTGGACTTCATGTATGTCACTTCCAACATCGTACAGGATTGATACAATATGCCGGATTATACAGCATGACAGAATTCTCAATTGTCTCAATACAGGAAGTATTATTGTACCAGAAATACCGGAGGTATAATTGCAATAGACCTTCGAATACCTAGAACAAACAACCCATGTGTCAACCTGTTGATGTCTTCAAATTTAGAGTTCAAGTAAAATCATTTCTTACTGTTTCTTATATCACAATATTCATATGGATCAAGTGTGTCAGGTTAGTTGCTGAAGCTACGAGTATTGAAGTAAGAAGTGGTACCGACATCGCCAGCCATTTTGTAATTTATTACACAAGATATGATTGGAGTGACAAATAAGACATGTTTCAGACAATGAAAAAAAAATTGATTACTAGGGGGCACAGTACGATAGTGCCTACCTATTATAATATGGTTTCTTATATTTTTTTAGCGCTTTTTAACGAGGATTTCTTTTGCTTTCAAAAAGTAATTTGTGTTGTATGGTGCTGCACTAATACAAGGACAGCGTACATAGTTACCGCGAATTGCCATATAATAGTAAGTGCAGGGGGACTGCACTGCACAAAATTACACAAAACAAATCTATGGACAAGAAACAATACGCAGAAATCACAAACAAATGTACATATCTGATTAAGTGAATGGATACAGAACTAGGCATAAGTGTCCACTGCACTGTACAGTCCCAGGCCTGTAGTGATACAGACTTCACTCAAAAATGAAAACTAACAATAAGGAATATACCCCCCCCACCCCCCCCACCCCAAAAAATTTTAAAAAAAATTGTGTAACACTAGTACGAGTCATGATCTGCTATATACCACGTGAAATATGAATGTAAGCATATTGATGTAAAAAATTACTTATACGTGAAATGACAAAAAAGTCAGGTAGCCTAAACTAAATGGTCTATGCTATGGTGAGAAACATATTAAGTGTTCAAAAGAATTGATGCATATTGACTACAAAGTTAGGGCACAAGTTGTATTTACCACAAAAATAGAGGAAAAAACAAAACTGAATACAAAGAAGCAAACTGAGAGAGTGCAGGATATTTGTAATTTAGGACTGTGGTCAGTCTATGACGTAATCTAAATTGGAGTGTGGGCACTATAAAAGAGAGTGGGGGATAGCATTCGGCAGAACTCACACCGCCTATCATATTAGCCATATACTTATATGAGAACGAGGAAGATTTGTGACAAACACTAAGTTTTTATACAATAAAAAAAAAAAGAACCTGAACTATAGTTATAGTTTTAGTCATGGAATTGAAGGCAACGTGAAGCTTAAAGATTGAATAGCACTACAATATATACTATACCTGCTGTTATTGAATCTGAAGGTGCTATGGCTCCACCCACAGTTAATCCACCAGTATACCTAACAAAATATAAACATACATTAGCTTAAAATTTGATGTATATCAGAATGAATTTAAAGGAGGATTATGTAAGATCAGATAAAGGGCTGACAGTTGTTGCTATAGTAGTTAAAAAATTGATAATGAAAGGGGAAAATTTAAGATAAAGAGCTGACAGTTAGCGCTATAATAGTTAAAAAACAGATAATGAAAAGGGAATATGTTGAAAATTTCAGCCATATTACTTCGCTCTGAGTGGAGTTATAGTGTTGCCTAGATTGTCATTGCTACTGTTGTTAAGATAATAAAGTCTTGATTATCCATTTTTACGTTAAATCAACAACCGCAGCTCGGATTTAAATCTGTTGAAAATTTAGACTATACTGTACATGGCATCGAGATTTGATTATGGTCTTGGTAAGTTAATTAATGTCTAATAAATAATCTATATAACATTTAAGGCACAAAGAAAGACCGTCAATAGGAAGATTTAGCTCTTGCATAATGCCTGTTTAAGTAAATGTGGTTGATTTATTAACTGGACGTATTTTTTTTTTTTTTTATATATATATTTCTTCTGTAAAATTATGGAAGATAAATACATAAAAAAAATAAAAAGTAGATAAAGTACACGACTACAAGGACTTCTATAATATTATAGAAATACTTGTACTTTATCTACTTTAATCTAGAATCAAAGTTTCAAGTAAGCTAAACTAATCCCAAGTGTTATATATTTTTCAATTAATCCCATGAAACGAATAAAAACACTACATTGTTAAAATTTGTACTTTCACTTTAAGAAGGAGATCTTCAGGCTTTCAATAAACATACATATGTATACGTTATATAATTCAGAACACATTAACATAACAATGTCCTATCCATTTAAATGATACTTATAATACCCGGTACTTTAATGTCAATAGAATGCACCATTCTATGTCTAATTTTAACATTTTTACAGGTTTTCTAATTCAGTATATAAAGAAAAGCTTGATTATTTCACACATCTTTCACTTACAACACTATACAGTCCATAATAAATTTGTTTACCTATTTAATGCCTGATTTAGTTCAGGTATAGATCGAAGACATTGAACTGTAGCATTCATGTAACAGGTATTTCCTAAATTAGTTAAACCACTTGGCATGTCCAGCTGTAAATAAATATTATAACTTATACTTGAATGGACTTTAATACATTTAAATAAGTTAGTTTGTTTTTATAACTATATGTATCAATTGGAATATATATTTATTATTAATCAGTAGTATATCAATAATTTTATATCTTGTTTATTTAAAGATAGGTTCCCAGAAAAATATTTATCGGGTGGTTATTTCCAATAAAAGTATGGCAATTTTGGTATATATGGAAAGTAGAGATATCCAATCTTACTAGAAAAATATTGGATTCCCTGAAAAACACCCATGGAGCGTATACAGGACAAAAATGTCAGGGTTCCCCTAATCGACAGCCCGACGATTAGGAATATCTACACGCGTGACGTCAAAGGTTGCACGCGGAGATTGAGCGCTTGATGTACATGTTGATAAACTTTATGAAGAGTTAGACGTACAACACTTATTGAGATAAAAATCACGGAAAAAGACGCGGGCAGTGGATAATCTGAGAATATAATTAGGATTCGATATTTGTAATAAATAGTCAGCGATTAAAGACAACATCAACTTGTGTATGGAATGAATTCTCCTCCGACTTCGGACCCGTAAGTCACGTGACACAAACATGACCTCTTTTGATCGATTTTTTATAGCAAGGGTATTCCTTGACAATTACAATGTTTTGAGAAGGATTTGAAGCAAATTTATGATAAATTAATTAGTTTGAATATGTTTTTAGGCCAAATATATCATCAAATCACCCAGTTTGTACGCGGGAATGTATCTTTAGGAAACAAAACAGTAACAATTAACTGCACTGTTAGTAAGAATTTCTACTCTGACGTACAGCTGTCGCTAACTGTTGTTCTGACATGTCCTCCATAAATACTGTTTTTTCAACTGGTTCTTTAGGTAGTTCGTCTGCTGTACCCATCATTAATAAAGTAGCTCCCTGAAATAATCCATTTCATTAAATTACTTAATCTGTACAGTTCATATTTTCTGCTATATATTTTTGTTATTTTTCCATACATGCAATGATTTTATAACAAGATACAATGAACATTCATAGCCAACTGGTTTAACAGTACTGTTAACCAGCAAAGATAAATGTTATAACAGTTTTTAATGCATAAATACTTAATCAGTTCGCGATATTGAAAGAGCTGGCCATTCTTGTTATAACAGTTCCAAAACAGATTATAATTGAAAGTTAATATATTGAAAATTTCATTCAAATTACTTTATTCTGAGCGAGGTTATCACTGTTTGAAGTTTTCACAAGATGTGGCATAGATTGTTTATTATCAGAGCAAAGTTACTTGTTAATCGAGACTCAACCTTGCTTCTACATTTTTTAAATCAAATCATGAAATGGCAATCGTATTTCAATTTGTTTACATCTCTGCCATCTGATGTCTAAAGAGTTGATTATAGGCTTGTCATGTGAATAAATAAATGTCTAAATAATAACTTATATACCTATGAACCCCCAAAAAAATTCTGCAATAGGCAAATTTAGCTCTTACATAACTGATTTCTATATAATAATCTGATATATGTACATGTACTTACGTCTTTTAATTTCATGTTACCCCAGTCATCATCCTAAAAACAACAAATGCAAGAGTTACCCATTTAATCACACCACATTGAAATTCTACAATAAGAAAATAAAATGAAATGGGGTTTAACATCCTACTGTTCTGAACCAACTGGATGTATGAAGACAGACATACACAATATAGTGTGCTTTGAGGGAGATTTTGCCAGGACAACGGTTCTACAGTCTACTCTTATATGTCAAGGGGAACCATGCCGGAAAATCCTTGCTCAACACACCGATCGAAAACAGGGCCTCCAGGTTAGCAAGCCAATGTACTCTTACTCACTGAGCCACTGTGGATGCCTCTACAAGACATTGTATGTAGGAATGAATCACACTTTTACACTGGCCGCTGTTACACATTGGCTGTCAGTTGTCTTCCCTTCAACATTTTTTTTTTATGGATAAACAAAGTCTTCACAAGAACAATGTTTGCAAATGCTTGTGTTTATGAAAAGAGGCCAATATCTTAGACAAAAAATTGTTAAGTAAAGGTACATTGTATATTATTCTGTAAAAGTATCAGATAGCGATAAGAAAGTTACCTTTAGAACTGTTCCTTTCATCATAACTTTTTGGCGGTCAGGTTGAACACCAGATAATGCAAAAAGCTGGGCTTTGAAAACCTCTGGTGGTTCATCTGTGTTACATTCCACAGCTGGAAATTTTTCTTTACCCCATTTTACATTCACTTAATAAAATTAAAAGAAAAATTGATTCAATGAACAATTTCACCCCATTTATAGCCTACATGTACATGTAGCACAATCATAATCACTGTTTTATACCATGTATATTTAATTTCTAATTAATGTTATCAAAAAAATCTCAAATGTAGTGCAGTACAAACAAAATTAGCTTAGAACAATGACCTAAAAAAATCTGCAAAACCAACATAAGAACCTTGACTAAGAAAGAAAAGAATGTCTTATAAATAAGCTTGGTACATGTATCTTGATTTTTAAGCCAGGTATATATTTAAAGGAGAAATTTGTACATAGTATTTCTGTGAATAAAACCTACCATACATGTATCACACATTAGCAAAAAAAGACACAGAAGGTACATGTGTATCACCTGTCATTTTGTTTTACAAAAGAGAGATAGAGAGAGAGAGAGAGAGAGAGAGAGAGAGAGAGAGAGAGGTTTAACATCCACTCGACACAAACTGTCATTTCGGGACTAACATATTTCAATAATTTGCTTGCTCATAGGGGACTTTAGGTGTGGGAGGAAACCAGAGGACCCAGAGAAAACACACAAGGTTGGATTGTTTTTACAAAGGTTTTTTTTATTCTGGAAATTTAATATTCATCACTACATGAAAGTTCCTTCATTTGCCTATATGTTATTATTAGTGGGAGGAAACCAGAGAACCCAGAGCAATCCACCGAGGTAGGACAGCCAACCCTACTTCTTATCATGTACAAGTGGGGAGTCAAAACCACGACAAATGACTCAATGACAGACCTTGTGATCTAACATGTGCGTGTTAACCCATTCAGCCACCCAACCTCCCTTCTGAGAATGTGTAGCATTCTGTACCTAGCTCTTGCATCTTTATATTTTACTGGCAAAAAAATCAATAGAATCATGTTTATTTATAATTAATAGCCACCATATCCAAAAACTAGTATACTATTTCGTAATGGGGTTCTTCTCCGTTTCACATAATACTAAATAAACCTTTTCATTTTTATTAAATGGAAGTAGAATAAATACTCTCAAAATTCTCAAAGTACATGTACCGTAGATCTATACAATACAGTACTTAATTTTTCAACTAAAATCGTCAATTTAGGAAATAAAACGTCTGACAATTAGTTTAGTGTCTGTTCTCATGCGGAGCTTATTGTAGACAGATAGCATAAGTTTAGTAATTGTCCTTAAAGGGTATTATAAGGTCCATTGTAATGATTGTTTAGTACATGTACATGTGTATGTTTCATACATGCACATGTATGGGACATTTGAGATCCAAAATTATTCATTTTGTTTTGAAAACAAGTTTAACCTGCCATTTGCTCTGGCAAAAACAGTCTACAGCTTTGTACAGCATGCTTTCAAAGTAAGGAATGTGGCACCGGCAATACTATATACCGGAAAACATCGGAAAACAACCAGAAAACACTGGTTACCTATTTAGGGTGTTTTCCGGTATTTAGTGTGTTTTCCGGTGTTTTCCGGTATTCAGTATAACATGGTGTTTTCCGGTAGTTTTCCAGTATATAGTATAGCCCTGTGGCACCCACTTCCCCAACAACCCCCCCCCCCCATCCAAAAAAAAAAAATAACAATTCAAAGATCTTTTTCATGTTTAGTTCAAGCAATTATGACATATTCAAAAGTTTGGTTTATATGTTGTACGGTACAATATAATAATGTAGGTCTATAAAGTTATACATATTTCATCCACTTTTTTTTATGTATTTTTCATCTTCACTTTTTATGGATTTTTCATCATGCATCATGTATAATTTATTTACACTGTGGAGCCATTTGGGCATTAGAGAACATGACATAAATATTATTATTAATAATATAATATTAATAGAGACCGGTGAGATTAACTTCTTAAGTTCTTTCAACTTCATCAGTCTAGATTTAGCCGGCAGTAATATTTTTTGGTTTTTCTGTGCCATTGCGAAAATGAAAACAACCTATGACAATTCCTGACAAATTTAATAAATAGACTGACGTTTATCTAGTATATTAGGAGAAGTTACCTTTGAAAGTTGGCATTTTGAATGTATTATTTAAACAAATAAATTGTCAACAAGACAAAACATTCATAACGTGCACCGTCACCGGAAGTTGATTACTACTCGTAGACACAATACGCATGGGCAAAAGTTGTACTGGATTAGCAGGACATGTTCAATCCGCATAGATTTTTTTTTGGCTATGCGATGTATTCTTTCTGATGCATTTACAAATGTAATAATAAATATTATCATTTTTCTCGTGTTCGCAAAATTGTGTTAATTCCCCATTATTGCAAACTCCTGCAAGAAGCCAACAGTAAAAGTTTAGACCGAGCGAATATATAGTTTATTTTGATAATCGAGTACAACTTTTATTTGTTTGACCTCGTAACCCCAAATGCCTCATCGTCGCTTTGTCAAACGTGAACGTGTAGAGGAATGCACCCACAGCAAAGACACTGAATAATAATGGACAATTCTTTATAAGCTCAGCCGTATTTCAAAGTCAGAATAATTATGCTAGATGTAAGTATGCTTTTGGAAGTATTCTATTTATTCTGCAGACTAAGACCCTTGTTTTACGTATCGCCGGCGGTAGGGTTTGTTTGTCGGTGAGATCAAAGAAAAAAAAATTGTGGTATGAAATTAAAAGTGACAAGATTTTAAGTTGACAATATTAATGTGCACCGATGATTATTAATGAAAAATTTTAATTCAAATATTGATTAAGTCATTGTGTCTGTTATTAATCTCATCCCAATTATTTGGGAGCCAAGGTTTTATGATGATAGTGCCATGCAGTATATCAATGATGAGTAGCGTATGTCAGTGTCAGTTCAGTCTCAAGACAAGAGGTCCCAGGTTATATCTGGTGTTGACTCAGAGAATGTTCCTCATGATTTTTCAGCCTGTTTTCCTCTTTTCATTGGTGCCATACAGAGGACCTGACAAAGAAAACATATGTCTTGTTTATTGCTTAGCTAATATATAAATGTTATTTAAGAACTTGGTCCATTTTAGTAACCTGGTCTATCTTGGACTGCCTACTGTAGCCTGTCCGAAACTTAAAAAAACAACAAAAAAACAAAAAAAACCCACAACACAATTGAACTGACCTTATGTAACAATACAACATTTAAGTAAAATTTCTTTAGGAAAACATCATGAGTGTTAATCCTTATATAAATGTGAAGCACTTGTAATTTATAATAGAAGTTAGAACATCTAGTTTCAATAGCCTGCAATGGCTATAAAAACAGAAGATTTAACTAGACTTCCTTTTCCATTAGGGTATATTTTCTCAAGTCTGCTACATGGAATGGATTTTTCGTTCATCTTAGGGTAGGGTAGATTGACTAAATCACTAATTGAGTAATACATGTAACCTGTACATGAACATGTATGTGTACAGAATTGCATAAAAATTGTCTGACTTACTAGGAACATTTTAATCCTTTGGTCCAGAGAGTAATAATTTTTTTGAATGTAATTTTCTAAACCCCTTTTATGCCAATAAATTTGTGATTGTTTCATTTCTTAATATTTTATTAATTACTACTTTTAATTCATAAACTGTATGTATTTTAAGTAGCTTAATCCTAATCTGTTTAAGTAATTATTTGGCCAAGTCTGTAATTAAAATTTATTTAACTTCAGAGGTAATCTGAGAAAATTAGACTAATTCTTGAAGACAGATAATTAAATATATATCATTGTGTGAGATAATTAGTATAGGTTAACACTAATTATCATAATAATAAGAGAATAGATTTATTAGACAGGCTTATATCTTTTAATTACATCTAAATGTAAATGATGTATGGTTTGTCCCCTTTGTATTATGTTATAGCCATTATAGCCAGCAGCCAGTGCATTGTTGTAAGTAGTTTATAAATGTTAATGTGACATGGTACATGATGTCAAACAGTATTAACACTTAGATCTTGATGAAGTAGTCATTTGAGAGACAAGTAGGGTGTAGTTGAACTACCGTCTTGTTGTGTTGTTAGTTGAAAATCTTCAGTTAGTGGTAGTGGAGTAATTGAACTGGAAGTAAAGATTTGTTATAAAGATTTGTTGTATGATTGAATTCAGTAGTTAGTCAGGTAAATGCAATTTAAATTATCTGAATATTTATATCATTGTGAAGAAATTTATTGAATAATCAGATTATTAGAATATATCAATTATCGACAATTCTTCTGAAGAAAATTTAAGATTAATTATTTGGATAGCATTGGTCAAAGTCACCAAATCTGTTTCTAGTGTGAACTTTTGAGTGATTCTGTTACATTACTTTCTAAGTTTTATTTCACTATATATATCTATATGTACATCAAAGTATTTTAGTGTTTTAATGTTATACTCTACGCTACACCTACATGTACTAACTTTTGAATGTCAAATGAAGCTATTTTTGATTTAAACATGATTCAGATAGAGTCAAGTACAATGTACTACATATGTATTCTTATAATTAATTAAATGTTTTATTGAAAGTGTTAATTAGTTATAGATACACCCCCAGTATAAGTACTTTATAAGTAAATGGAAATATATTTTGTAAAATGATAAGTTTTTAGGTTTTAAGATGATATTATTTAAGTTTTCTGTGTAAGCTGGTTTTCTTTGAATTTCAATATAAAAATTTTATGATATTAATACTACTGACTCTATATTGTAATATATTCATTGATGTTATTAATCTGTCAATCAGAATATACATGATGTATTATATTTCTATAGATCTTATTAGTCTACAGGATTAAAGTGATATACTTGTGAGGTATAATGTCAATATTTGTATCAATTACCTCCAAATTACCTGCTATTGTGTTGTGTAAAGTTTGACATTACTTACATACTACACAATGCTATATATACATTGTACCAACTATGTCTATACATAATTGTGAACATTTTTTAAAACTTCCCACAGATTTGAAAGTATCATTTCTAAAAGATCATATGTATTCAAATTTTGATAGACTTGAAACTTAATGTACAATATTTGCTTAGTTACACTCACATACCAGTTTTGTTATATATATTTCAGATATATACCTAAAGCTGTGAATTTGAGACATTAACTACAAACCAACATATATAGCCATCCATCATGTAATTAAGATATTTAAAGTTGTCTAAAGCTGTATGGATATACCACTGTAAGATCTGGTTTTAATTATTGTATAAAATGCGTGAAGAAGACATGGAAATTGCCATCAAGGTGGTTGTGGTGGGGAATGGTGCTGTTGGGAAATCAAGTATGATACAAAGATACTGTAAAGGAATATTCACGAAGGATTATAAAAAGACAATTGGTGTGGATTTCTTAGAGAGGCAAATTGAGTAAGTGATTATTAGCATACACAGGACACAATTCTATGAATATAATTACAGTTTATTGCCTGAGTGACATTTTGATAAGGATATTTTTGTCTTTATCAAGCATAACATTGCATCTTGTGTCATTTGTATTTCCAGTTCAAGAACTATATGCCATTGAAACAATTTATTACCTTTTTAACATGAGGAAACATTGTCATTGTTAGATGTTAATTGCAATTAATGTACATGATCCATGTATATGCAGGGGATTTAACGTTTATGCTGGGGGGATGGATGGCCGAATGGTTAGCATGCGCGCGCTGTATCACGAGGCCTGTCATTGAGTCAACTGGCATGGTTTCTAATCCCCGGTTGTACGTGACAAGGAGTAGGGTTGCCTGTCCAACCTCGTGGGTTTTCTCCGGTTTCCTCCCACTGCTAAAGATCCCTACGTGCAAGCAAATTATTGAAATAAAATTAAACCATATGTTACTCCCGATAGTCCCAAAATGACCTAGTCTGTGTCAAGTGGACATTAAACCCCATTTCTCTCTCTCTCTTAACATTTATGCTTGAGCAATAATCCAACCAGGTATGTATCCTGTTGTCCTAAAACATAGATGTGGTCCTGCAGTTTGTTTACATTAACTGCACTCAGTCAAAGAGTAAAATTAAATTTAATTTTCTTGGAACTTTAAGTAATCGCTGTTAACTTTAGTATACAAGCTGCCGAACTTAATTTGAATAAAAGGTTCATTTCATCTGTTTTTACAATGCATGTTTAGAAAGTCTTCCTTTCTAAGCCTTATACTTGAGTCTTGGCATACACGCAAGAAGTTACATCTAGCCCTGGAAATCACCAAACCTCTGCACGACACTGCTTATTGTTTTTTTCATAATATATATGTTTAATTTCTGTATTTTTAGGGTTAATAATGAAGATGTAAGGTTAATGCTCTGGGATACAGCAGGCCAAGAAGAATTTGATGCCATCACAAAGGCCTATTATCGAGGTAATATACTTCTATCAATGAAATCCCCAAGGTGTCGTAACACATACAAGTATGTACATAGGATTCTCCTCATTGTATTTTATAAAAGGAAAGAAGTAGCCAGTTCTTGTGAAATGGAAGCCACCGCTTAATTTGTTTATCTATCTACCCGTTTAGAGCAGTATTCATTTGAAATATGTGTACGTATGCCCCTACTATTAGTAGTTGACGCCCTCACTGAACGTGTAGAAAAATAAAGAAGTTAACAGTTCTCAAATGTTAAAAAGAATTCATTTTACATCTGTAGAAGACATTGAAAAATGTTTGTTTACTCTACACTGAATAACCCAGTCTACTGGAGATTGTAATTGTTTTTAACATGTAAATGTGACTAAAGTTTACTGGATAATGTTTATTATTAGTCCATATGTGGACAGTACAAGTTGACTGAGAACATGATGTCCATCTTGTTTGGCCAGAATTTTAAGATATTCACAGCAAGTAATGTTGACTTGTTGAAGTTAAGGCCACCATGTTTGTTCAATGTAGTTTGACTGACTGGTTTTGTTTAAAGTTGGTTTTTTGTGTCGTGACTGACTTACTGACAAGATTACTTAAACTGTAACATCTAAACAGGTAGCCTATCTAGAACCATCTATGAGGCAAACATTGATTCAAACTAGGTTAAAAGAAACATTAAGAAAACTAATATCCTTAGTCCTGATCATAGACTTAATACAAAGTCTGAGCACCTCCCTTAGGATAAAGACTAGTAGAAATAATTTCTTTATAATCAAAACAGAATTTATTCAGAATTTCTTTTTCCCAACACCTGTTTCAATAAAATAGGGTTATCAATTTCTAATGAATTGTAAAATTTTGAATATAAGCTTATCCGTTGAGAATTCACTGAAAACAAATTATAAATGGCCCTGTTTGATTTATCAATACCGGCGCATACCGGCTGACCACAGTTCGGCATTTCCCCGACGAGGTCACTTGATTTAACCAGAAGTCGACAAAAACTCAGCCGCAGCGTACGCCGAATGCGCCGCTTTGTCGGCAGCGGCGATCACCGGTGCAAGATGGTGAACATGTCAACGAGATAAAATTCACGTTAGTTAGGAATGCCATTAAACACGAATATTAAAGCGTTAAAATTAAACCAAATGCTTTAAAGTTGAATTAAGGCTTCGTAAAACCAGATGTTCATATGTCATTTATTTATATTTTTTTTTTCGTAATACTACAAATAATTTTCTGTATTATTTTGTGGTCACTTACTTATAGTAATGCTTTCATGAATACTGTTTTTACACGCCCACATTGAAATGTGGTCGTATATTGTTGTCGCCCCTGTCCGTCCGTCCATCCATTGGTCCAACGTCCACAATTGCTTGTGGACGCTCTAGAGGCCAAAGCTAACATCCGATTGACTTTAAATTTATACACAGTGTTAAAGGCCATGAGACGAAGAAGCATATTGATTTTCAGCGATAATTACCGCCAGCTTTATGGCCAAATTTATCATCCGATTGACTTCAGATTGATACACAGAGTTTAAGGTCTTGAGACGAACAAGTATATTTTTCAATGAATTTTGATAACTGAACAGCTAAATCCATGATATTAAATGTTTCGTATTCTAAACGTTAGCATGTGACAGAACTTGATAATTACTTAATGAGTTGTTACTTTTAATCAGATTTTATTTTATTATAAATGTTTCATTACCGAAAAAAGTAAAAATATGCGACAACTCTTGTTGACTGCACGGACGCTTTAGCTGCTGTGGGCGTATGTTTTGTTGCCTGGCAACCTATCGTTATTAAAACATGTCATGTTACCAGTTTAAACATGTCATGTTACCGATTTAATATTATAATATTATCCGACTCCAAATTTATTATCAGCCGGGTCACTTGATTTGCTCTGATACGGTAACCTGACCGGCGTACGCCTTGTACAAACCGGCTCGCCTATCGGTGGACAAATCAAGCAAGCCCATTTTGTCCAAAAGTACCCCACCTTTAGATTATTTTAAAGTTTATAATCTGGAATCATGTTATATCTTAATAATACTATACATTATTCATTTGATATGAATTTTAAAATATAAATTTCACTTAACACATTGGAATATGCTTGTCCATCACAGAGTTAGACAGATTGAATTTGTATATAAATTAAACAACTGGAAATATATATTTATTATCAGTCAAGCAGAGAAAAATATATGAACCTCTTTAATCATTGTGACCAACCATCTGTGAATGAAAGATCGCTAAAGTTTGTTCACTTCATTGAATTACGGAAAAAACATCAAAGATGAGAAGTATAGTCACTCCTTGTTTACATCAACTTGGACTATCTGATTTGTATAAATAAATGGTCCAGTAAATACTTTGATAACTTTGAGTAATTGAACAGTTTTAACTTACAATAGACAAATCACAACTTTAAAGTGAGAGTTTGATCAGACACCTTTCAATTTGGGTTCAGAATATAGAAAAAAATATTCTTATTGACAATTGCTAATAAGAAAAACATTACATTTTATTTACTAATTCATAAACTAATCCAGATCCTTCTTCATTGACCAATCCCAGTTGAATCTAAGTACCGGTAGGCCCGATTATTCATGATGTCAGCAGTCTAAATAATAGCCCTATAAACCGGAAGAAACAATTAAATTCAATTGAATTCTGTCTTGGGGATCTTTTTTTAGTGTTCAAAAATATTTTCTACACATACAGTGTACTCTCACTTTAAAGTTTGTCTTGTGTGGCAATCACACACCTCTTACCTTAGACATTAAGATATAGAACCTAATTATCAACGGTAATATAAGATATATTGTACAATAGATATTCAAGCTCAGTTGAAACTGAATAAAGTAGGCTTATCTACTGAAACAGAACACTATTCATATTGGATTTTTATATAAAAAGTATATTATATGCTAGTAATAAATCATACATAATTCAATAGTATATTAAGTGGAGCAAATCTGGTAATTGATAGATATGTAATTATACCTGCCATTCACAATATACCCAATATTGGCAATAAAAACATTAACCTAGATTCCTATATTTATAAGACCATGACATTGGATATCATTTTTACATGTACATATATATACTTTATTCCTTATACTAGTATGGAAGTCTATTCAAAAGTCATTTGTATTATTGTCCCCCCACCTTTCGAAGGAAGCAGGGGACTATTAAAATCTGTCTGTTTCCTCGTCGCTCAGGGTAAGCAGAGCGATAAGCAATTTGATTGGTCGAGACTTTGGAACACAATAACTCTCCTTCGAATAGCGGTAGATTGCTCAAACTTGGTGTAAGCGTTCATTTGGTGAATGCTTCGAAGATGAGCATTTTCTGCTTAGGGTAAGCAGAGATAAGCAATTTGATTGGTTGATGCTTTGGGAAAGGATAACTTTGGTTCTACATGTAATTAAGTGAGAGTGATGAAACTTGCTGTATACCTTGACTGAGTTTGATAATGAACATTTTCGGCTCAAGGTAAGCAAAGCGATAAGCAATTGGATTGGTCAAGCTCGACAACTTTAATTTTAATTGAGTGATAGTGGTGAAACTTTGTGTACAGTTTCATTACATCAATACCTTAACAAAGGTGTCTATTAGGTGAATGCCTTGACAGAGTTCGATCATGCTCATTTTCCACTAAGAATAAGCAGAGATAAGCAATTTGATTAGTTAGGACTTTGGAACATGATAACTTTGGTTCCGATTGTGTGAGCGTGATGTAACCCTGAGTATAGATTCATTATATCAATACATTGACTAAGTTGAATGATGAGAATTTTCGTTTATATATTAGGCTAACTAACGATAAGCAATTTAATTGGTCAAACTTTGGAACATAACTACTCTGCTTTTAATTGACGTATAGATGTTGATTAGGCGAATGTCTTGACTGAGTTCAATGATTAATATTTCCCATTAAAGCTAAGCAGAGCTAAGCAATTGCATTTGTCGATGCTTTGAAACAAGATACATGTAACTTTGGAGTGATGAAACTTAATATATAGTTTCACTGTCTACCAGGTACTTCAAAACCTGACTGAGTTTGATCGTGAACACTTTGTGCTTAGACTAAGCATAGATAGACAGTTTGATTGCTCAATATTTTGCAAAAGATGAATGTGCAATTCATTAATATGTGTCATCTGTGTTTATTTGGGGATTTGGGCAGTGGACATCAGCCTCATTGTTTGCTTGTTCGTTTATTACTTATTACTTTAATTGAGTTATATAATACATTTATGATTTTTAAAACTGTTTTCTTAATAATTCTTCATTGAAATGCATTATCATCCCCAGTCAGCACATGGACTTGTGATCAAATTATCTTTTTTAATTTTAATTCCTTAAGTTTATAAGTAGGCCTTGTTTAAGACTTTCATGGTCTGTATAAATTGCACTGAAATTCAATAAAATAGAAAATGTTTGTTGTATGTCTACAGACATGTGAACTCTTTATTAATACTGACCATGAATATTGCATTGTCGATATCTGTGGTTGACCTTTTAAAAAAAAATTAAAAAAAAAAAAAAAAAAAAAAATTAAATCAGTTCAGGAAGAAGTTGAAAGAAAAATAAATTTCTTTACTGACAGCACTTAACTAAACTTTCACAATAAAACACATTCATTGTAATTGAAGTAGATGTACATTGTATAATACATGTACAGATGACAAGTAGGAGTCATATACTCATAAAAAATGAAATTATATATAGTTTGTTTCTTCAATTCATGTTTGTCTGTTTAGTCTGTATATGTTTTCTTATGCTTAAATGATGCTAAATTTGGAGAAGAGAATATCTGATTATGTTTCAATATTCTGTATTTGCTTGTGGACACTCTACAGGTCACAATTTTTATCTGATTTTAAAGAGACTTGAAATATAGGTCTATCTCCCAAAGATCTCAGTTCTTTCGATATTGGCATGTATCGGACCATAACTTCATGGATTATGGCCCCTGATTGTACAAACTTGAAATACATGTTATTGACCCAAAGATCTTGGTTCCTGTAGATATTCATGCATATCGGTTTGTAACTTCCTGAATTATTGCCCTTGATTGTATGAAAAATCCCGTTTTTAGTTTGTGGTCTCTCTAGAGGTCACAATTTTTATTCGGTTTAAAAAAAACATTTGAATATAAAAGGATCACCGATACACAATAATGATGGTTGAGTTCCAATTCCGTGAAAATCGGACCAAAACTGTTGGACAAAACGGCCGCCCCTCGTGTGCAAATAGTGTAAAAAATATGGTATATCAAGGTTGTGGACCCTTTAGAGGCTACAATTTTGATCTGGTTTTGATGAATCATTAAAATTACGTTTATATCACAAAGATCTTGGTTCCTTTCAATAATCGCGGATATCCAAATGTATAACTTCCTGGATTATGGTCCCTGATTGTTTGAAAAAAATCGCGTTTTTAGCTAGCAAAATGTGGGCGGGTCTTGCATAGCAACCACTTGTAGATATTTATTAAGGAATGCCATTGCATTCCCGTAATTTTACTCATTCGGGTCAAGATCCTACTTTTTGACAACAGCAACTTACATGTACCTAAAGTATCAATATGCACATACACTTACATGTAGTGGAACTGTTTTGTGATACTAATTATAATCTTGTGAATTCTGGCTTAAGTACTGATACAATACAATGTTATAGGCTTATAGCTTTTTTCTATTTTTCTTCTCACCTTAGATTCAACACGTTAAGTGTTTGGTCTCATTTTTACCCGACATTTCAAAAAGACTGCGTTTTAAAGGCTGTTGAAATATTTAAATAGATTATACAAGAGGAAGAAGATGTTATTGGATTATTGTGACCGTCTGCATATTGTTTGTGGATGATTTGGATTTCTCTAGAACTAGAAGTCATTTGTCAATAATAGCCTGCAGATTCTGTGTTTTACTTACTTTAGTGAGATAATCTGATAACACTGCCTTGTCAGGCAAATTCAGAAAAGCATTTACAATGTGTACCTTAGAATTATCATTGACATGTACATTGTACAGTCACAAAGTGATATAATAATTAAAGGAAGTTTAAATGAAAACCACAATTTTACCTAGCTTTTAAATGTAATTATCATGTTATTTACAGTTCAATTCAAGTTTTGTTGTGGATTTTGTCAGTAGACTAGGACAGGGGAGATACGGCATTTCAAACAATTTAATCCTTAATTTTTTATTATTTTTTTAGTCTGGGTGCCTCACCATATGGGATCCTATCACTGTTCGCACTCTCTTCTTTTTGTTCTATTATTTGTGACCGTACTAAACCGTTCCAGACTACTGGAAACCATGCAGATGTCTTAGACATAGTCATACTTGTTCTTTGTAGAAAACAATAAAATTCTTTTGTAAAAGAAAACAAAAGTACATAAAAACATGTAACAAAAGGTATTTTTAGGCATATCTAATTAAATGTGTTGATTTGAAATGTACTCAGTTCAACTCTCTGAAACATCAAATATTGAAAAAGAGAGTTTTAATTTTATTTGGTCATTAAATTCTGTGCAATTTCCAATTACTGAAAGACTTCTAATTGAATTAGCCTCAGTGGACCATGTTGATTGAGCTGCTTTTAAAATCAGTAAATATGTACATGTATCTTATCATTTTATTTGTTCTACGAGTCATATCCTTGACGACATGTATGTAACTATTTAATAACCCATTGACTAGTTGATAACAGATACTTGATAGATTTTATTGTTTAATAACACCAACCTATCACCTGCAACAAGTCTATAAAGAGACAACTATAAAATCTATTATCATGTTAGGAGTATATATTATTAATATAAGATAATCTATATTAAATGTACAGGTCACTATAGATATATTAGATTGGTCTTCCAAGGTTTTATGTCTGTCTGAATTCAAAATTATGTAAACTACCAGTGACAAGAGACATGTAAAATTAAACTGGTTTAAAATTGCTGGCGATCGTTAAACCAGTTTAACTTTTTCAGTTGTACGCAAACAAGATGGGACAAATAAACCAGTTTTAAAACACTAGCTCTCTATATACATGTACTACCTGTCTTTGAGGAGGCTTTTGTTAAAAGCTGAATTATATTGGCTGTATGAACAAGTCCTTAAAAACACTGTCTCCAGTTGACTTTGGGCCCACGCAGTAAGATTCTTATGTAAATTGATGAAGTTTGATACCTAATTAACTTATACTGTTTTTGAAACAGATTTACTGGCTTGGCTGCCCTTGGGCTATTAATTTTCTTCAAAGACGTACTTAATGAACTCTTTATTACACCCTTGCTAACATTAATGTATTATGCAATTGTCTTTTGAAGCAAGATATGTACAATAATTAATCAGATATAAACATTCTTTTGATCATACTTTATTGGTATATTTATGACCATGTAAATGATTAGTGAACATTATGACCTAGCCAACTCTTCCATCTCTGGTAATAAGTCAAAGATAATACTTTTCTTATCTGTTTTCTTATATTATTATACCATAAAGTCTCTCCCTTTGATCTCAAAATTATTTTTAGGATTTCTGTGAAGGTTGTTCTTGTATACAAGTAAACTTATAAAATTTGTATATTTCAGGAGCACAAGGTTGTGTTTTAGCTTTTTCTACAGTTGATAGAGATTCTTTTGAAGCAATTGAAACCTGGAAAAAGAAGGTAAAGCCTGCCCTATGTTATTTCCTTTTCAATATACATGTACATGGAGGTGACAAAATTTTCTGAGCAAAACCACACATCCATGAGGAAGAATATTCAGACATTTGGATTTGAAATAGATCTATCGCATAGCAGGTTTTTCACTCAGCTAATCAAAACAAAAAGTTATCTGTCTATTTTTTGAAATGTCTGATGTTGTTGCAAATTAGACTATTTTTAAATGGGAATTAGATAAGATTAGATAAAGAGCTGACAGTTCTCGCTATAATAGTTCAAAATAGATAATGAAAAAAGAATATGCTAAAAATTTCAGTCAAATTGCTTCACTCTGAACTGAGATACTAGAGATTCAGTTGAAGGCTAGCCTCGATTGTCATTACTAACTTTGGTGAGATAATAACCAATCTTAGTTATCCATTTTAACGTTAAATTATCCATCACAAAATGTTTTCAAATCCACTAAATATCGCAGTCTTAACGATGGCATCAAGAGTTGATTACGGTCTGGACAAGTCAATTAATGTCTGATTAATAATTTAGATAACCCTTCAGACCTAAAGAAAGACATGCAATAGGCAGATTTAGCTCTTACATAATGAATGTTTAATCAAATAGCTGCATGTTTTGTTTTTTTTTAAAAAAAAAAGAAATCCCACTTAAGTGATTAAATTCAAGTGGAATGACCGGTTGACTTGTTTTATTCTATTATTACTGTAACCTATCAGGATTAATGTGATAGATCACCATGTCATTTTAGATCTTATCTTGAAAAGAACAAGGCTTTGTTTACTTTTCATCTGTAATTAGTCAGATTTAGTCTACAAATAGCCTATAAACAATAAACTAAACCTTATCTCTGTGAAACTCACATTAAAGTACTTATTAGAGTACATTATTTATTAGATCAGTCATCAAAGAAAGTATTGTGAGAATGTAACTAATAGACTACATTATATGTTAATACAGTGTTTAGCAATCTAGAAAAACTAATAGTTACAGTTAGTTGGTATAATAAGACTTTGTACTATATAAAGGCTAGAACAAGGAAGTTAAAGTTTAGTTATTATAATATACTCTTCAAAAAAAAGTAGGGGATATTCAGAAACAATACATAACTGCGGAAATGCACTGCTGTTTTTATTAGAGGTAACCAGGGTATGTTAATAACAGGGCAATTGCCTACACATGAACATAAACAGTTCAAAGGGCGTCTTGTTTGACGGCCCCATTTCACTCACAAAGAAATGCACTGTCAAAAGTGAAAATGGAAGTTTTTGATTTTTGTCTTAATAATGAGTAATTGCTCGACCATTGGTGGACCACCAATCCTCAGACATTCAGCAATTCGTCGTGGCATGCTCCTAATCAACCGTCCAATCACGATTTGGGACAGTCTGACCCACTCCTCTTGCAGTGCCACGGCCAATTGTTGCAGTGTTGTCGGTTGACGTTGACGTCGATGAACACGTCTCCCGATCATGTCCCAGACATGCTCTATAGGGAAAGATCAGGATTCATGGCTGGCCAAGGCATATGGACAATATGCTGATGCTGGAGGTATTCATTCATGACACGAGCGACGACCTGCACGTTGAGCAAAGGGCAGAACTATCGGTGCCAGGATGTGGTTACGGTAGTACACACCAGTGACCTTTCCTTGAACAATATGCAAGTCCGTTCTGCCAGTCATGGTGATTCCTCCCCACACCATAACAGACCCACGCCTGAATCTGCCATACTGTCTGACGTTAACGTTAGCATGACGCTCGGTGAAATCGAGAGTAAATCTGGACTTATCTGAGAACATTATACGCGCCCATCGACGATTACCTCAATATCATGTTGAAGACGTCTCATTGCAAATTAAATGTAACACACTAAAGCAAAGATACGCCAAACAGTAAATCGTTTGCAAGAACCGATAGGAAAGGAAACATGGATAGGATAAACCAGCACGCGGCAGTTTTCATCAACCCTTCCTTGAAGTGTCAAATTTGACAATGAACCCCTCCCACGTGTATGGCGCTATTGCGTGTCGCAGATGCAGCTCTTTGGTTTTGTTTGGGCGATAAGTTCTTCATCTGTGAACATACTCTCAAAGCATGTCAAGTGCCCATGACTATTTATCATATCACAACCTGCATAGGTATTTGCATTTTAATATCCCCTAGTTTTTTAGAAGAGTATATATAAAGGTTAAAATAAGAAAGTTAAAGTTTTGTTATAATATATACTTATAAAAATTAGAACAAGGTAGTTAAAGTTTAGTTATAATATAGAGCAAAGGCTAGAGCAAAGAAGTTGAAGTTTAGTTATAGTAATAATTATAAAGGTTAGAACATGGCAGTTAAAGTTTAGCTATGATATATATTATGGCTAGAGCACAGAAGTTCAAGTTTAATTAAAATATATACATTTGTAAAGGTTAGAACAAGAAAGTTCAAGTTTTCTTATAATAGATAAAGATTAGTTATAATTTATGAAGTTAGAACAAGGTGCAGCTGTAGTTAAAGTTTAGTTATATAAGGGTTAGAGCAAGGTAGTTAAAGTTTATTATATAAACGTTACAACAAAATAGTTATAATAGTAAAATAAATTATAAAACAAGGTAGATATAGTTTAGTTATATTAATGCTAGAAAAGAGAATTTAAAGTTTAGTTATATAAATGCTACAAAAGGTAGTTAGAGTTAATTGTAATATACATGTATAAAGGTTAGAACAAGGTATTTAAAGTTAAGTTATATATTGAAATACATTATATAATACATAATGGTCAGTTATTATGTAATATATACTGGTTAGAACAAGGTACTTATATAAAGTGAAGTTGTATAACTACTTAGTACTAGAACAAAGTAGTTAAAGTTTAGTTAGTTAAAGTTCGGATATATAAATGCTAGAACAAAGTTGTTATAATAATTGAAGACTAGAACAAAGTTGTTATAATAACTGAAGATTAGAACAAAGTAGTTAAAGTTTAGTTATGCTAAAGGAAGGTTAGTTAAATTTTGGATATGTAAATGCTAGAACAAAATTGTTATAATAACTGAAGATTAGTACAAAGTAGTTAAAGTTTAGTTATAATAAATGAAGGTTAGAACAAGGATGTTAAAGATTAGTTCTTTCAATGCTAGCAGTAGCACAATGTAATAAGTTATATACCGTTTTTTTAGGACTTCGAATTTTGTCTAATGGTTTGGATTGTTCGTACTTGGTTTTATTTTATTTTTATAATTATAATAAGTGAAGGTTAGAATAAAAAAGTTAAAGTTTAATAAATTAATGTTAGAACATGGTTGTTAAAGTATAGTTACATGTACATAATAAATGCAGGTTAGAACAACGTAGTTAAAGTTTAGTTATATAAATGCTAGCACAAAGTAGTTAAGTTTAGATATATACATGTAGATCCTAGAACAGGGTAGTTAAAGTTAAGTAACAAGTGTGAAGTCCAACAAGAAAATGATAGCAACATGTATCACTACTTACAGCTAACTGAAATAAAGTGATAGTAACATATACTTTTACCGTACCTGTAGGTAGATGAAGTCATACGGTCTATTTATATTTTAGGTAGAAGATGAAGTTGGCCAAATAAACATGGTGATAGTTCAAAATAAAATTGATCTTATTGATGAAGCTGTTGTTCATAGGTAAGATTAATGTGTTTTGATTATTCAATTTATTAGAAAATTTCAAATTCAATTTATTAGAAAATTTCATATTCAATTTATTAGAAAATTTCATATTCGTATTCAATTTATTAAAAAATTTCATATTCATTCAGTTTATTAGAAAATTTTGTATTCAGTTTATTAGAAAATTTCATATTCAATTTATTACAAAATTTTATAATCAATTTATTAGAAAAATTCATATTCATTTTATAAGAAAAATTCAATTTATTGGAAAATTCCATAGAAAAATTCATATTCAATTTATTAGAAAAATTCAATTTTTTGGAAAATTCCATATTCGATTTATTAGAAAATTTCATATTTGATTTATTAGAAAATTCATATTCTATTTATTTCATATTCAATTTATTAGAAAATGTCAGATTGAAATAATCTTCTGGTGACTAAAAAATATATAATATTTTTCACATTATGTTTAAAGTGATGAAGCCGAAGCCTTAGCAAAGAAATTACGCCTTAGATTTTATCGAACTTCAGTAAAAGAAAATTTAAATGTAGATGAAGGTAGGAAAATTTTTTATGAAATTATTGAAATGCACATCAGGTGATACATTATGTACAGTTGTTCTATATGTGTGTACATGTACAAGTGTACAAGACATCGTCATTTCATATCAACCAACTAGAACCCTTCGGTCAGCTACCGTATTAACACTTATTGAACTTAAATTTAAGAACATTTGGATCAAAAACCTTTCATTTCACTGCATAAATTTTATGGAATTATCTTCCCAAGCATGGTAGACTTTCTCCATCCTATCTGTTTTCATACATACATGACGCTTAAAACATGGCTGTTTAAATGCTACAACTGACTCAAAATTTAGAGCAATATAAATGTGCTTCAAGCAGTTTTATTTGGGTTTGTTTTTTGTTTTGTTTTTTTTTAAAAACATGAAGATTGCACTATATAAATACTGTTATTATTTAGACAGTTTTAGATGAAGCACAGTATGAAGTTTGCATAGTTTTTCATCATTATATCACTTTTAGAATTGTGTCCCAAATATTTTTCTAGTGATTGATGTGTCTTCAACGTGAATTAATGTTAATTGTACTTTTCAGTATTCCGATATTTGTCTGAAAAATATTTAGAAGAGTTGAGTATGGTTGTAGAAGATGATACACAAACATTAACTATTGGTCAAGGTAAGATAACTCTTATTGGTATATGTAAAACACTACAGGTATATAAAAGTTGTAAAGTATATGTACTAATGTAGTATATTAAACAAGGTATATGTTTAGGAATGTAGAACCATACCAATGCATATAGATTCACATAAAAGATATTTGCTGAACTAAAATTTCTATACATCCACATTTCAATGTGGTTGAATATTGGTGTGATATATATCATTAGAAGGACAACACTTGTTTGAGTTTCACTGATTTCAGATAATAACTTCAATTTTAAGCGGTATTCAACTTCAACTTCAAATAATTTCTTAAGTTTATATGAAGCTGTGTCAACTATATCACAGCAAAAAAGTGTGTGTGAAATAGCTTTATTTAATGTCCCCGTCCACCGAAGTGATATCGCAGACAAGCAAAAAAGAAATGACCATCCATTTTATCCATAGTTGTTGCCCTTGACTCTGAAAACTTGAAAGACACTAGTATTATTAATATTATTATTTGCCCAAGAAGTATATTTTAATTGGGAGCCACGGTGACTCATTAGGTAAGACATTGGCTCACTAAGCTGGAGGTCCCGTGTTTGATCCCTGTGTTGATGCAGGACAGACGGCCTGGTAAACGAAAATGTGTAGTCATTCGGATGGGATGAAACATCAAGGTCATGTGTATACATTAGGGTACATATAAAATATCCCATAGCAGTTGGAATTCGATGTAAGAGTAGGCTGTGGTGCTGCTGTCCAGGTAAAATTTTCCTCATAGCACACTGTATATCATAAGTCCATCTTCATTAGCCCAATTGGAGCAGAATAGTAGGACATTAAACCCCATTTCATTTCATATTATATATTTTAGCTAAATCTTCTTTTGTTTCAGGTGTAATTCAAAATGATGTGAAGAGTAATTCAAAGGACAAAAGTTCAAAGAACAAAAATGAAACAATTAGTCTTAAACCACATAAAAAACGTGGCAAGAAACTACTTATGTCCTCTAAATGTGATTTATTATAGTGACATAATGTACATAATTCTTTAAGTAAACGGGTGAAATTCTGTGAGTGAGAAGATTTCAGTGAAGCAAAACGATATTGAGATACAAGATTTCAACACATGTATGGTTCGGAATGAAAATACCGGTGAGAAGGAACAGACAGACGCCCTATTTTAAGAATGGAAAATGTAGACAGTTTGATATACCGGTACTTAACTGTTATATTTGTATATATGTACTATTCATTAACTGGTTGACCTAAATACTTACTATATATATATTAACACACATTATATACCTGTTGTTATCTACATGTGCATGGACGAAATCTCTGGATTGTGAAGGAGAGAACCACAAGGGAGGTAACCAAGATAAGTGTCTCAATGATGAAAGCGTTTCTTCACCTTCATTGCATCTTCACAGTGTCATGATTTTTTACCTTTGATTAAAGTATATTAATATACATATACTAAAGGTTACAAACGTATAGTAAAATCTTAACACTGCAAAGATGTTTTTGTGAAAGAGTTGAAAAAAAAGTATATTGAAATAATTGCTATCTTTCTTAAATTATTTAATTTTATGTACATGTATTTTAAGATTTAAATAGTAAATAAAATCTGTATTTTTTGGGTGAATATTCATTAATGTATTTATTTTATTAATATTAAACCTATAAGTCCATAAATTAAACCTATTGTAAACAAAGAAAGTGGGAACAGCTACTCACCCCAATATTTCCAATTTTAAACCTATAGTACTTATTATTTACAAGTATAAAAGGGGATTATCCCATTTTTATTTTATTTTTTCACAGAAAATCTGTTATTTATCAACAAATATACCTGTATTTCTTTTTAAATATCCATTTCTGGCGTAGTTAAATTCAATGACAAAATGAAGTGTTTTTAAGATGAAATGCTTGCCATTTAATAGTTAGGTATGTATGCATATGAAAAATTAAATGTTTTTAGAATGTAATGCTTGCCATTTAACAATTTATAAAAAATTAAGATTTTAATTACTCATAGTCAGCAATATTACAACTATTTTTATATATATTTTGTAATCCCTAAATTATCCTTATAATAACTTTTTTATAATAAATCAAAGTAAATCATGTGAGAAAAATTATTAATATATGTACTGATAGAAAAAAAAAAGGTTTTAACCTTAAAACACAATTAGTATCAAGCAATGAAAAAATAGCCTTAGAAGAGGTTATGACCAGATAAAAACAAACTAGTTTAGAATCTGCTAACTAGAATTGACAGAAATTAACATCTAAGATCAATCAAGTTTGTTAAGTGAAAGTACATGCCTAGATAAGCTACACGTACACCTTTCTATTCAATCTATACACCAAGACTGTATCTCAATTTCTTGACACAAGCTGATTTTTGAAAGTAATGAATATATTTTTATAAGACAAATCAGATGATCAAAATTTTTTTTTTTTTTTTTAAATGTTACTGTATGTAAATCTACTACTAAATATATTAAAATATACTGAATAAGATTTATATTTTAAAACTGTTTTGTAAGAAGGATTTATTTATTTTTATATAAAATTACTTGTCGATGTGGATTGAATAGTTGTTCATAAATATGTGAAGCAAGTATAATACATGTGTAAAATATCAAATAGATTTAAGCTGTGGATGAAAGTTATAATTGTTGTGTAGAAAATTCAAAAGGCTAAGATAAGGAGTTTCGTCGCCTGTATGAAAGTCATGTCTATACTTAAAATTTACGGTAAATGGTGTCCAGTTGTATTTAATCTGAACAAATGTTGTTTAGTGTTCATCACTATGTTGTGTTTCATTATATTATCTATTTATACATATTTCATAGAAATTTAGTTGTGTCCGTTTTGTGTGCAATCTCATTTTCACGAAGAATAATTTTTGTTATTTTGTGACAAGTTTTAAAATATTCATCACAAAATCCATCCATTTGTTGTCAAATCAAAATGAAAGGAATCATTCTGACAAAAATGTAAACTAGACATTAAAAAGATTATTTATTATGTTATTGAACTTGTTGATAGTCTAGACCAGCTGAGAAATGGTCAAAACAAATGTCTGCTAAGTTTTCTTTTGGCTGAAACATAAAAGTTTTTTGGATTTTTTTTCAATTTAAGTGAATTTGGACCCTGAATAGTTATAGTAAGTGCTTTTATTATTGTAAAAATTTATGATATAATATTAGACATATTTGTAATATATTAGACTTTTAAAACGTAAGAAATTGTGTTAGTAATATTTAATGCATAAAATTATATTATTTATTTTGAATTATGATCTCATTTTATTATAATATTTAAATTACTAGGGTTATCAGCTACATGTAGTTTGATCTCATCTTCACAGAAGCTCAGTTTTAAAAGTTCAAAAATTTGTAATTAAAAGTATGTTCAATACATGTATATAGCCTGGTTTGAGAAATTGCCATGTTTTAATCTGACTATTGAATTGGTCATCATAAATAATGGTATATTTCAAATCTCTGTTTAATTCTTTCAAAGAGTTCCATCAATTTAAATTGAAATTAAAACAGTCACCACAATCACCTATCTTAGTATCTAAATTAGAAATGAAAATGTTTCTGCTTAAATCTTTCAAAGAGTCCCATGTTCTATCAGATCAATATAATACCTGTATCTATCTGTATTGGAAAGGTAATGGGAGATAACTGTTGTTAGAGCTATAGCTGAAATTTCCTTTAAAATACAATTATATTTTGTAAATCCAACCACATAATACTAAAACAGCAGATTACTGTTCCATATATTGTTGCCATTTTATTTTTTTTTTAATTTGTACAACTTTTTGTAGGTCCACATTATAATATTACCATTTACATTATTTATTATATTATTTATTATGGTCGATTAATGTATTTTGTTATGGTTTTGGTCATTTAACTTTATCAAAGCTTTTTGATATATTACATTTTATCTTTAAACTTTAATAAATATTCTCATTAACCAAATAGATCTGGCTCTATTTATAAATTAATCACTCGCAGTGAATAATGACTCAAATGTTGTTAAAATGATATAACCATGAAATGGTCCACAACATCCTTTACTATTATTGCCGCACCCTCTCTTTATCAGACATTTTAACCAATATCCACCAAGACAGAAATGGCTCCTGCAGGCACTAAAAGATTCATTGATACTGAATTTCATTTTGACTACATGTTTATATGCATATCAACATTTGTATGGTTTTAGACTGGTTTCGACTCCATCGAAATACTTTGTTACATGTATCTAACAAAATATTTTCGACCAGATCTTGACGGTAAGACCGACAACTGAACAAAATGTACAGTCCTTACCATGGTATGATAAGTGAAAACTTAAAATAGGAATGAACACGAAGCGAAACGTATTAATAAATGTGAGCACTGAAAACAGTCTAATGAGTTTGTTAAAGGAGCTAAATCGCTAATATTTGGGACCTAGAAATTGACCCAAATGGGTCGAAACGCATATAATAATGTAATCTGATTGTATATAAACTGATTTACATTCAATAGTTTCCGTTTTGACTCTAATTTCAAATCAGTTATATCCAGCGAAATACGGCATGTGTCTCAACCCTATAGCAATTTCTAGCGTCTGGTTATTCCAGTCTATTAAGCAGGCTCTCCAGTTGAATATGTCTAGCCTCTTCTTTCTGGTCACTTGTTGCAAATGACACTAAAACACAATATGGTACACGATTCGTGTACCAATGGTAAAATGTTTATTTTGTCTTAAATATTGGATATCAGAAGCCTGCCTTTTCCTGGTAAGATTACAACATCAATTTTATTTGAATTGACAAATAATTCGTATTTTCAACGTGTAAGACTTTGAATGATATTGAGTTAGAGACTTAGCTACTTTAACGTTCGTCACTATTCTGGCGGCGTCTCTAACGTGTTTTTTCAATCCGCAATCCAGTGATGTAACCCGAAAGAATATATTCAGTTTGTGTGTTATTGATAAAAGTTCTTGAGATTAATTCTGTTTGTGGAGTAACAGTGGTTGAAAGTTCAAATGGATTTTCTGGAGGGTTTTGCTAAACTCAGTAAAGCATGAATAGTAAGGGACGCTAAACTTTATAACGCATGGGTAGCACGGCGTTCAATACCTTACAATTCAGCTGAGGGCGTTTTTGTTGTTCTTAGTGTTTAACGTCCGTTTCCACCGAGGATGATATCGCAGACAAGTTGTCTTGTTTTCATTTTCATTATCTTAGCACACGCGCCGGGATCTTTCCTATGGGAGGAAACCGGAGTACCACGAGTTTCAGAAGGCGCTCCTATCTCCAAGCCACATATGCTAACACCAGCGATCGAAATCACGACCGTAGCAAGATGTGACCGGCCAGCTAGATCTTGAAGCGTGACATTCTAGACCACTTGGCCATCCCAGCCCCCTCTCTGAGGGCCTTCGTCCTCACGATTTATTTATGCTGTGGAAAGATAAGCCCGGAAAAGTATTCATTTAGTTCATTTTTCTTCTCTCGAGTTTATCTTTCCGCTTACATTTTTTCTACACATAATTATTTTCTTCCGGAATGATATAACGTATAAATTACTATGAAGACCCAATAACCCAGATCTTTTTAAATGCACCACAGTCAGTACCGGATTAACCTTGTGGGGGGGGGGGGGGGGTGCGGGACATACCAACTGTGCGGGGGACCCATTGTTGTTTGTTCAAATTGTTTGAACAGGAATTTTTTTTTAAAATTAGGATTAATTTCATGTGCTTCTGAGACAATTTAGGCAGCGATTTCCTGGGCCCCCGAAAATCTGTTGGTACCTACCAATCCCGGGGCCCCCAATATCCCTTACTGCCCACGGCCCCAATCCCTGCCACCTCAGCCCAGGTACTGGTTGGCTCCGTCCGGGATAAAATATTAGTATGACCCAGAATTGTGATGGGGGGGGGGGGGGCCGGGACATTTGTCCCACTTTGCCCCCCCCCCTAGATCCGGTACTGACCATAGCTCACCAAGCATTAAATATTTGTATGTGTCTTGTCAACACTCACCATTTCTGCTCGATCGAATGCTGCAGCTGGAGAATCAGAAAGGTTCTATTTATTTAACCACAGTCTCACAGGAAATAATTAAATAAAAAACATTCTTGAGTGTGTCATTCTGGTTTGTATTTCGGTTTTCGGTGTCCGATATCGTACTGTAACTATAATAAACTTTAAAATACAGATGTGACGTCACCCTTTGATGTTGGCGTACCATTATTTCAAATAATCGTACGGGCAACTTGTCAATCGTACATTATTTATACTAGTGAAATATTGGACTCGCGAGACGTATTTCACTGTAAAAGCCCGTGCGGAGTGTTTGTATTTTAAGTCGTTTAATGGGCTCGAGCTTACGACATTGCGTAATATATTGTAAAAAACACTCGGGCCTACGGCCCTCTTGTTACAATATATTACTTAATGTCTCGCTCTAGACCATTAAACAATACATAACTAAATAGTTTGACATTTACTAAAAGTACCGGGAGCCGCAGTGACTCAGTGAGTAAGACGATGGCTCGCTACGATTGGATATCTCTACTTTCCATATATACCAAAATTACCATACTTTTATTGGAAATAACCACCCAATAAATACTTTTCTGGAACCCATCTTTAACATTTTAGAATTACAATATTTGACATTCAGCAATTATTTATAAAATATATATACCAAGAAACTTCTTTTCAATTAGCATTTTAACTAGGTTTTCATAATCATAACTAAATTCCTATTTAAGTGATTTTGAGTTTCTCAATTTAAACAATTTATGAGAACTTGCTAATATTAAAGTTAATATCCCTCAATGACATTTAGAAGTAGAGATATTATTCATAATATCACGACTTGATAGATTTACTACTTATTGGTTGATTACATGCAATGTTTTAATACTCTTACAGGTATCTTTATCAAGCAATACTCTTATAAATATCAATATTGAGCATTGCATGGAATAAAACCAAGAAATAATAAATCCATGAAGTCGTGTTATTCGTCCAACCTCCCACAATATTGTGAAAATTGAATCTCTGAAAAACCAGTCTAAAAATGGTTTAATTCTGTTGAGTATATTGGACTGAATAATAGCGCCTAACAGGCAGCTGTGTGTAATTGTGCTCTTCAGATTTGGATCTTATCTGTGTGTTTGAAGTATAGGATTCTGATATAGTCCTCTTCCATCTTGGGCCCTGTTTCTCGAAATTTTAACGAAAGATAAAATCCAATTTTAGTGGATACTTCAATTTTGATTGGCTAAGCACTAAAATCAATCTAATACTATCCAATCAAATTACTAAAATTTGGATTTTATCTTAGTTAAAATTTCATGAAACAGGCCCCTGAGCTGTAAGATTAACTTAAAAACATTAATTTCAAAAATGTTTTTGAACTGTTTTGTTGTTAATGCGCTGAGAAACACTCATGTGTAATGAAGCGCTATATAAATCGAATAATAATAATAATAATAATAACCTTGATGTCCGGTTTTCGATCCTGGTGTTTGCCGAAAGAGTAGGCCACAGCGCCGCTGTCCGGGCAAAACGTCCCCCGTAGCATACTGTATCGCGTATGTCTGTCTCCATTAGCCCAGTCGGAGCAGAACAGTGGGAAGTTAACCCCATTTCATTTCATTCCATTAATTTACTAAAAGCACCACGGTATCGCAGAATACTTTGCAGTACAGATCGTCAATATGTCATAATCCACATTGTCAGATTGTAATTAACTATAATGAGTGCACGCTTCTTTTTTCCGGGAACTGTCATTAACGCCAGCCTTTCCATGATACTGTGGCGTGGTGACCACTGAATTAGCATGTGGAACAAAATGCCGTTGGGGTGAGATGGTGGAGTGTGTAGCACAAGAACCCAATATTGTTGATAAGGTCCGGGGATTCTGTTTCCGTGACATCGAGAAAGTTTAAGGTACGAAGCCCATTTCGAGAAAGCCCATTGCGTCATTTTCTCCACATCACTTCGCCCCTGTCAGTGACGTGGTGACTGCTGATTTTACTACATCCTGTCGAGACACAAAAACCCAACACAGATATATATATATATATATTGGGTGTGTGGGATGGTGTAGTGGGGGTGGGAGCGTGAAGGAGTATCGCAAGTATTTTGTCAGGCATGTGGTGATATAATGAAAAGGTTGAAAATGTCATATGTTTTTATGTTATATTTATGTAATAATCCCTATTGAATCCATGTGAATTTTTCTTAGTCCCAGAATTCTTTCTAGTAGCTTACGGAGATAAAATCGTTTAACTGGAGACAACGAAACAAAAACTCAAAATATAAATATTATATTTGACCGGTTTAATAACTGACACCCTCGTATGGAGTGATCAAGAACTATCGTCTGATAATCTGTCACTAGTGTCGTATAACTTTCCATTTATAGATAATGACACGTGACGAACTTCTTTTTTGTTGGGCACCGTGGACAATGTCATGACTTCTGCCATAACCGATGATGAGTTATCTGTGTCGCTTGGATCATTGGTTCCAGAGATGAAAGAATGTTGAAATCGAACATCCGAGGAGTTGTCGCTGTTTATATTTCCGGTAGGTGGAGACAGGGTTGCTGATTGTGGATATTTAGGACTAGTGGGTGTACGCGAAGTCCTAACAGAACTCTTGTAAGAACATTTGAAGCTTTTAGTTGTTGCATTCGGTTGAGAGAAAATACCCTGAAAATATAATAATATGAAAATTATATGCATTACATTTTGATATTAATTTCTTTATAATTCCTCACGTGGCTAAGTGGGTAAGACGCTGGCTCGCTAGCCTGGAGGTCGGGTGTTCGATCCCTGCATTGGCCGAGAAAGTTCATCCCGATTTTCCGGCGTGGTTTCCCCTTGTCAGTGATGCAGGACGGAGGGCCTGACAAGGACAGCTGTCTAGTCGTTCGGATGGTACGAAAAACCGAGGTCCCGTGTACACATTGGCGTGCACGTAAAAGATCCCTTGGCAGTTGGAATTCGATATAAGAGTAGGCCGTAGCGCCGCTGCCCGGGCAAAATTTCCCTCATAGCACACTGCGTGGTGTATGCCCGTCTTCATTAGCCCAGATTAGGAGCAGAACAGTAGGACGTTAAACCCCATTTCATTTATTTCACATTAACCAGGAGATCTCGGGTTCGCTCCCGGTGTTGGCCGTGAAAGTTCCTCGGGTTTCCGGTGTAGTTTTACTTTGTCTGTGGTGCAGGACGGTAGGTCTGGCAAGGAACAGTGTCTATTCGTTCTGTCCCGAGTACACATTGGCGTGTGTGTAAAAGAACCATTGATAGTTAGAATCAAAAGGCCGTAGTGCCGCTGTCCGGGCAAAATTTCCCTAATAGCACACTGTATGGCTTATGCCCGTCTTCATTGGCCCAGTCATTTCATTTCATTTTTAATTTTTCAGTTAAAATATATATAACCCATCTAGTTTAATGGTTTGGAATGTATAAGGGTAACCAATACTATAGCTTGTGACAAGACATCACAATTCAGAAGCTGTTGATTCCACATACAAATCTTAGGGAAAAAGGCCCTAACGTTTTCAACCATGCGTATAATTTGTTAACAGCAGGAAAGTCTTCGGTTGTTTTAAATCCTGCAAACTGTATTAGTTCCTGAGATTCCAAATGAATTGTGTCATTTGAAATCGGAAGTCAGAATGTCAAAAACTTTCAGATATCGAACTCCTGCTTAGGACTAATCTCAACTATCAAGTCATTTTACACGAATGCAATAATTAAGTTCAAATCGATAAGTTGTAGTGACTGAAATGTATTTCGAATTCGGGGCTGTATGTAAACATCCACACAATGCTGATACAGAAATGAAATGAAATGAAATGAAATGGGGTTTAACGTCCTACTGTTCTGCTCCTAACTGGGCTAATGAAGACGGACATACGCCATACAGTGTGCTATGAGGGAAATTTTGCCCGAACAGCGGCACTATGGCCTACTCTTATATCGAATTCCAACTGTCAAGGGATATTTTACGTGCATGCCAATGTGTACACGGGACCTCGGATTTTCGTCCCATCCGAACGACTAGACAGCTGTCCTTGTCAGGCCCTCCGTTCTGCATCACTGATAAGGGGAACCACGCCGGAAAATCGGGATGGACATTCTCGGCCAATGCAGGGATCGAACACCCGACCTCCAGGCTAGCGAGCCAGCGTCTTACCCACTTAGCCACCGTGATCCCCCAATGCTGATACATGATCGGGTTGCAAACTCAGACATATGGCATAATATAATGGTTGTCGGGTCACCTCCACCATAACTATAATATTTTCAAAACTATGAATCCATAGACATGGAATGTAGAAAGAAAATCATAAAAGAGAACCCTATAATTTTTCTTGTCACATACAAAATTCTCCAATTTATCTTTTTACAGGAAAAAGTTATTCAACACGGTCAATTCATTAACGATTTTGAAGCCCATGGAGAGATCCACTGTCAAAAGCAACAATGTAAATAGCATTTTGTCTAGACCAAATTATACAGATGAGAAATTCAAAACACATGTCGTGTTTCCTTGTCAATCAGATATTCATGTAGCATTATGACATCACAAATTGAAATCGTTCAGTGTACGTACATTGTTCTGAAAATGGTTTTTGCGTGGTCGAGTAGACTAACCGTCTTAGGTGTGCGCTTTAGATTTTAAGGTCTGTCATTGATTCAAGTGGCCCGGTTTGAAGATGTGGGCGTATAATGTCGTCGCCCCTATCTGTCCGGACGTCCGTCCGTCCACAATTTGTTTGTGGACAATCTATGGGTCATAATTCTTATCCAATTTTGACGAAATTTGAAATATAGGTTTATCCCCAAAAGATCTCGGTTCCTTTCGATATTGGCATGTATTGGATCGAAACTTTATGGATTAGCTTGTGGATACTCTAGAGGTCACAATTTTCATCTGATTTTGATGAAACTTGAAATGAATGTTTATAACCCAAAGGTCATGGTTCCTTTCGATATTTGCGCATATTGGATCGTAACTTCCTGAATTATGACCCCAGCTGTACGACAAATCCCGTTTTTAGCGTGTGGTCCCTCTAGAGGTCACAATTATTATGCGATTTAAACAAAACGTTCGAATATATCACCGTTACACGGTAATGACGCTTGAGTTCGAATTTCGTGAAAATCGGACCAACACTGCTGGACAAAATGGCCGCCCCTCGTACGCAAATAATGTAAAAAAAATATGGTATAACAAGGTTTTGGACCCTCTTGAGGTCACAATTTTGATCCAATTTTGATGAAACCTGAAATACATGTTTATAACCCAACGATCTTGGTTCCTGTCGATATTCGCGCATATCGGATCGTAACTTCCTATATTATGGCCCTTGATATTTTTATCCGATTTTAAAAAGCGTTTAAATATCACCGTTACACCCTAATGACGGTTGCGTTCGAATTTTGTGAAAATCGGACCGAAACTGCCTGACAAAATGGAGTCTCCTTGTACGCAAATGGTGTAAATGTATGTAATACAGGTTGTGGACTCTCTAGAACTAGAAGTCACAATTTCTGTCCGATTTTGGTGAAACTTAAAATATATCTTTATATCCTAAATATCTCAGTCTATTTCGATATTTGCGCATTTCAGACCATAACTTCCTGGATTATGACCCCTGATTGTACGAAAAATCGCCTTTTGTTTTTAGTTTATTCTCTATCCATCTCTTGCAAAACGAGGGCTTATCTTGCCTGGCAACCGTTGGTTATTCCAAGGTGTGGGATCGCCTGTCATATGGTTTCCCCCTGCCGCTAGAGACCCCTATCACATGGGCCGCCCGGTTTCCTCCTACTGCTAAAGATCCACATGCGCAATTACGAATTCCCCCGGGCAAAAGATATACACGTGACTAAATAGTCTGGCAACATTTCAAGTACAGACTAATTCTATTTCAATTACACTAAAATTCCATAACGGCACCAAGTATTTGACAAGCATTGATAAGAATTATTTACATGGAGTCTAGTTGTTTTATCATTATAATTACCTGGAACACGGCCATTGTTACATTAAATAGATTATGTAAACATGCCACTATATATATATATATAGATACCTGTCACAAATTAATAACATTCTCTTGTTAAATGGAAATTCGGGTGACTCAGGAATATTGTCAGACTATGTAGTTACGTGTTATATCTTTTGCCCAGAGAGAGAGAGGGAGAGAGAGAGAGAGAGAGAGAGAGAGAGAGAGGGGGGGGGAGTTAACGTTCACCGACACAAGCTAGGTCATTTCGGGACCAACATACGGTTCAATTTTATTTCAATAATTCGGTTGCGTGTAGGGGTCTTTAGCAGTGGGAGAAAACCTACGAGATTGGACAGGCGACTCTGCTTTTTGTCACGCAAAATTGGCTCGAAAAAAACCCAAAACATTTTGAATAAATCATTTGGGTTGTATTTTGGAATTTTGGAATTTGGTATAAATATGCCCCTGTAATCTTGGTGATACCCGCTTTAAATTTCAATATATTTCTTAATAAGTGAATTATTATTGGTATAACCTTGGTTACATATACATTTACGCCATGCGATATAATTATTTACGTCACATTACTAAGTTTAACACTGATTTATTTATTGGGATGATGATTGTGTAAGGACAGTCGGTGCAGGTGTCTATTTTAGTCCAATCTAAATTGTTAGAAGAATTGAAGTTGTGTAACACTTTCTTAGTGATAACAGAGGTTAGTTTAATAAATATATGGTTTATTTACATCTGAACAGAATACAACACATCTACATAACTACAACAGCAATACAGGTACTTAGAATATATACAGGAACTCATCAAGACGGTACATAAATATGTTAACTCTACCATTCCGCCTCTCTGCCAAGGCAGCGGTTGAACTCGGGTGAGTCCATACGCCTGTCTGTGCGTTCTCCTTCTTCTCGAAACCGAGAGACCCTTCTCGGTTGAGTTTCTAAGTTCCACTGATTTGTCTGAACAACCTCAGCCAATTTATACTAAACTTAGATTTGGTATAAGTTAATTAAAGTACATAAATATGTTAACTCTACCATTCCGCCTCTCTGCCAAGGCAGCGGTTGAACTCGGGTGAGTCCATACGCCTGTCTGTGCGTTCTCCGTCTTCTCGAAACCGAGAGACCCTTCTCGGTTGAGTTTCTAAGTTCCACTGATTTGTCTGAACAACCTCAGCCAATTTATACTAAACTTAGATTTGGTATAAGTTAATTAAAGTATGCGTATACATATATTATTGATATTAATATATTAAAATAAAGAACTACACAATGAATCAGCTGTCATTGATAGATTATTTCACCAATATCATATTGATGTTGGCTACACATCGGTCAGGAGTCGGTCAGCCTATTGTCTAACGTGACCTCTCTCACCCTAATAATGTAACAGTTGTCACTGTATTTCTTTCCTGTAATGACATTGTATTATATACTCTTCAAAAAAAAGTAGGGGATATTGAAATACAAATACCTATGCAGGTTGCGATATGATAAATAGTCATGGATATTTGAAATGCTATGTTCACAGATGAAAAATTTATCGCCCCAACAGAATAACTGAGCTGCACATGCGACACGAAATAGCGCCATACACGTGGGAGGGGTTCATTTTCAAATTTGACACTTCAAGGAAGAGTTCATGAAAACTGCCGCGTGCTGGTTTATCTATCCATGTTTGCTTTCCTATCGGTTCTTGCATAAGATTTACTGTTTAGCGTATCTTTCCTTTAGTGTGTTACGTTTAATTTGATCGGGGAGACGTGTTATCGACGTCAACGTCAACCGACAACACTGGAAGAATTGGCCGTAGCACTGCAAGAGGAGTGGGTCAGAATGCCCCAAATCGTGATTCGACGATTGATTAGGGGCATGCCACGACGAATTGCTGAATGTCTGAGGATTGCTGGAGCAATTACTCATTATTAAGACAAAAATCAAAAACGTCCATTTTCACTTTTGACGGTGTATCTCTTTGCGAGTGAAATGGGGCCGTCAGATAAGCCGCCCATATGAACTGTTTATCTTCATGTGTAGGCAATTGGATTGTTGGTTACCTCTAATAAAAAACAGCAGTGCATTTCCGCAGTTTTGTATTGTTTCTGAATATCCTCTACTTTTTTTGAAGAGTATATAATACGTAGTTGTTTTAATGAAATGAAATGAAATGGTGTTTAACGTCCTACTGTTCTGCTCCTAAACTGGGCTAATGAAGACGGGCATACGCCATACAGTGTGCTATGAGGGAAATTTTGCCCGGGCAGCGGCACCATCGCCTACTCTTATATCGAATTCCAACTGCCAAGGGATCTTTTACGTGCATTCCAATGTATACACGGGACCTCACGTAGTTGTTTAAACAATCTATATATATATTTGTGACTGTCGTTTGTCTGTCTGTCTGTCTGTCTGTCTGTTTGTCTGTCTGTTCGGGGTTGGCGGCTACACTAGGTCTGCCCCAAGTCTGAAATTTGGGGTATAGGGGTAGCTTGGACCGGGGAGTAACATAGGCCAGGTGGCGTTAGTCTACCACTTCCGGTTTCGGAGTTATGACCCCCGAGCGAAGCCGGTCTGTTCGGGGTTGGCGGCTACACTAGGTCTGCCCCGAGTCTGAAATTTGGGGTATAGGGGTAGCTCGAACCGGGAAGTAACATAGACCAGGTGGCGTTAGTCTACCACTTCCGGTTTCGGAGTTATGACCCCCGAGCGAAGTCTGTCTGTTCGGGGTTGGCGGCTACATCTGCCCCGAGTCTGAAATTTGGGGTATAGGGTTAGCTCGGACTGGAAAGTAACATAGACCAGGTGGCGTTAGTCTACCACTTCCGGTTTCTGAGTTATGACCCCCAAGCGAAGCCGGTCTGTTCGGGGTTGGCAGCTACACTAGGTCTGCCCCGAGTCTGAAATTTGGGGTATAGGGGTAGCTCGGACCTGAGAGTAACATAGGCCAGGTGGCGTTAGTCTACCACTTCCGGTTTCGGAGTTATGACCCCCGAGCGAAGTCGGTCTGTTCGGGGTTGGCGGCTACACTAGGTCTGCCCCGAGTCTGAAATTTGGGGTATAGGGGTAGCTCGGACCGTGGAGCGACATAGGCCAGGTGGCGTTAGTCTACCACTTCCGGTTTCGGATTTATGACCCCCCGAGCGAAGCCGGGTATCCTGCTAGTAATTAATAATTGCATTTAACATGTGCACATTGGCATAAAAAATAATAGATGTTTAAACTAGAAGAAATTATAACATTTAATAGATCTGGCGTGGCGTGGCGTGGTTTGAATAAATAACAGTATTGGCACTTAGATGTTTGAACTAGAATAAATAATAATAGATTTGGACAGTGGTGTGGCCTTGATTGTCAGCACCCAAGACAAGTAAGCTATTGGACCCTTATTAGCAAATGTGTTGCTTGGCAACGTTTATTTGCCCGGTCATTTTGTTAAACCGTGTAGAATGTTCGAACATTGGGAGGTTTTCAACGTTTTATTTATTATTACTAATTTATTTTTTTAATTTTCCGCCTGTTTGTTCATTACACTTTATTATATTTGTAGCGCTTTCCGAGATTCTATCCGGATTATCGCCACTTAACTTATTGTTAAAATTGTTTGACGTTCAAACTCATGGCGTCATTTGGCAGACTATAACCATTCAAGAGACGTCTTTCTTGTAAATCATTTTCCTTTTTTTAATTTTGAGTGAAGTCTTTATCATTAAAGACGCTGGACTGTACAGCGCAGTGGACGCTTACGGCTGGCCCCCGGATCCATCACCTGATTTGATATTTGTTGCATATATTTCTTGCAATGTCTAAGTAGTTTGTTTTGTCCGCAGGTTAGTCTTGTTGGTTTTGTTTTGGATGTAGTGTGGCCCTCCTGTACGTTGATGCATTGGCCGAGAAAGTTCATCCAGATTTTCCGGCGTGGTTCTCCCTTGTCAGTGATGCGAACGGAGGGGCAGACAAGGAAAGCTGTCTAGTCGTTCGGATGGGACGAAAAACCGAGGTCCCGTGTACACATTGGCGTGAACGTAAAAGATCCCTTGGCAGTTGGAATTCGATATAAGAGTAGGCCGTAGTGCCGCTGTCCGGGCAAAATTTCCCTCATAGCACACTGTATGGCGTATGCCCGTCTTCATTAGCCCAGGTTAGGAGCAAAACAGTAGGACGTTAAACTCCATTTCATTTCATTTCCTGTACGTTGATGCCTAGGGAAACCACCTATCTTTCACCGGGTTTTCAAAACGTTAAAGGGTAGAAATGTAGTGCCTAAATCAAACACTTCCCACAAAAAAGTATTTATCTTCTGGATATTTCCAATAAAACTATGACATTAAATAACCTACCTTACTAAGTAGTCGGGAATGTTCTCCTAGCTTGATTTTAAAACAGGAAGCTAAAAACCTTTTAAGGTAACGCCTGAAAGTTTTATGTAGAAAACAGTACAGTACAGGATTGGTGGCACTGTGAAAATGTCCCACCAACAGCATGAAATGAACTATATTGGCCGCAACAATATCATTTTTAAAATTCAGGTATGTATTTACGATGTAGTAAGGTAACCAGCACACCGCAAACATAACAGCAACAGCGATACACATCTTGGCCAATCTCCGTCTACCGGAAGTGATGTGTTTATTGCCGCCATCTTTTAACGTTGCTTTGTTATGCCAGTCTCTATTTAGTTGCTTATCTGGTACCCATAACCTTTGACCCATGAGGGTGTAGCATGTAGCAATCAAGACGCCCGGACACACATACACAATAAATAAAATAAAGATGTCGTAAGCCTGTCTATGTAATTGCGATGTCCAAACCTCTATACAGTAGGTAAATTTGGCCCCAGGTAATATTTCGTCCGTGACAGTTCTTCTCACTAATAAAATAGGCACCATGATGATAAGAGAAATAAGCCACACAAACAAAATAAGTATCCGAACAGTTTTCGTAGTTCTCAATCTCCGGAATGACACAGGATGTCTTATAGCTAAACAACGGTCGAGGCTCATAGCTGTTATTGTAAAAGTACTTGCAGATACGGCGATGCCTGCAAAATAGAACATTTGAAGTATGAAATAAGTTTTAAATGACATGACCTCACACAGCAAAATATGCCCTGCTCTAAAAATGATACCATTATGACTGTTTATAATTGGAAACAAATCGAACTTTGGTGTTCTCTGTAATTAGATTTGGGGTTTTATTTTTACAGACTGATGTATGTTTAATTCAAAACGTCAAAACCTGTTTTAAACTTCATTTGCTGGTGTTTGGTGGTGTGGGTCGAGCTGGGTGGGAGGTTGGTAAGCCTGATATCGCGTTGATTGTAAATATCCATAAGCAATCTAATTTCAGGGGATTAACGTTTTGACAAGTTTTTTTTACTAACCTTGAAGGTAAGGCGTTGCTCGACACAAAACGTCCCCATAAATCCACAACTTATAAACTCTTTGAGCAGCTGTCATCGGAATACAGACCAATGATACTGAAATACAATCGTAGTCGTATAAGATTATAAAACAAAACAAAAAAATTATTAAAAACCCAAACTCCACGCGTTTGCCGTAACGAAATTCTATGATGACAGAGCATCTTGCAATACTCAGTCCATAGATTAATGTTCATACACAGTATTCAGATCATGGTTCTCTTTCCAAAGCTATGTTTTAAAGGACAATATTGGTGTCAGCCAAATATCACATATTTGATGGAACTGGTTAAGAACAAGTCCGCGAGAGGACATGCACAAATTGAAAAGAAAAACGAAAAAATAACCAAAACGATAACCCATACTTGGTCTAGGCGACAGAAGTTACGCGATGTCGTGAAAAAAAATTAATTTAAATGACAACTTTGGGTAATACTGGAAATTGTTGTTTTTGGTCAAATTTTCCATATTTTAACCAAATTTTTACCCAAAATTCAAAACGCTCCTACTCGAAATGTTGTGACCCTAAAATTTTGATATTGGTCAGGTATGATGGGCCAAGTGTCGACTTAAAATCTTGCTGTCGTTTGGGAATGAATGAATCGTGTGGAATCTTCTGTGAGTTATCTTAAAGTGGTAATTTTACAGATGTCATCGTAGGGAAGGGGCGTAACTGGTGTATAATTTTTCAGAATGAGACAACGATTATTCTCATTTGTATTCTGTAGTTAGTAGCAGGGAAATGTATAGAAGTATGGGATGGCATGGCAAGCTTTTATATCAGCACATTCTAACCAATCCACCGCCTTTTCTCCAATGACAAACGATTATTTTCAAATGACCAGAGATCATCACCATTACTATTATGTTTCGTTTTTAATTTGAACATGCCTGTCAAATAGGGTATTTTGGACATAAATCATAACGTTTTCGTGACAAAATCGGACTTTCACGGTCGCTGGATAGTCGAAGGGAAGGTAATAAGTTGTGAATAATTTTGCAGTGATCAAACCGCGGTTGTTAAGATCTGTATCTATAATCAACATTCTCGTTTAAGAAGAATTACAAGAAAAAATATCTATAAGTCTTTAGCAGACCATCATGATTTCCATATTGAAATCTCTGAAGGGGAAGATGACATACCTCACAACAGGATGTATGGCACTCTAGACAATCCAGGATAATTCTTACTGCACATGCCAACCGCCGGCATATAGCTATGTTCGAAGAGAAGTATTCACTTACTTAGGTTCTAACCCGCCTTCATATGTTCTTAGTGTTGGGATCTCATTTTTGTAATGATATTTTTGGCTTATATATGTCATCTTCTCCTTCAGGAGATTTCAATATGTAATGTATGTTGTCTCCCGATTTTCAATAACTCTCCATTAAAACTTCCAAATGTTTCTATACACTGATCGGCTTCTAAATACAGATGGGAATAAGTGCGGTCTAATTCCTAAAATATGTTCGACCAAAATAACCTATTTGGCACGTTCAAGTAACCAATCATGGAAGAAAATCTGATAATCAGCGGTCATTTAAAGATAGTCGACAGTGAAAAGACGCACCCGTCGAACAATGTCATACTTTTAAACATCTTTATATATGTGTACATATGCTCAATGCCACTGGATCATCTACAATCATCCCGTCCTTACAACCTGTTACACGAGCCAACATGTACACCCCTCAGAAACACTTCAATTTCTGCAAGCCACGGGCGACGTAACAGTTTGTGATCGTAGAGTTAGCTCATATGCTTCTATCGCGGATCGGATGTCCGGTTCTCCACGGAACATTTCCAGCCACGAGAACGCACAGGAAATGCTGCTGCGAACTTCCCACAGCTATTGACAACGTAGTGATCTTTTAACCGAGAGCTGAAATATGTTTCATTTCATTATTATATCATATTCATATAAGATGTATTCTGTGTAAACTTCATTGGACATTCGTGAAACTGGTCACTTGGTTAAGTCAAAAGTGGTCTAAGCGTGGTTTCCATTACAAGCTTGTAGGTAAAATGGTCTAGTGTTGTCTGTCCAACCTCACAGATTAGTTTGTGTCGAGTGGACCTTAAACCTCATTTCTCACTCTCTAGTCAAAATCATCCTTGATGACGACTGAATGGAATATATGAAGTTTGTAAAGGTGTCCAAACATACGCATCACTATATGTTCGTCCCAAAATGACCTTGTTTGTGTCCAGTGGACGTTAAACCCAAATTTTGTCTCCCTCTCGATTCTTAATCAACCTTGCTAATGATTAAATTGAATATATTAAACTTGTAAAGATGTCCATACATATTCTTCATCTGGGGTATTGATAAACGGAACATTTCATCCTAATTTATTGGTAGTTTTAATTTATTTCTCCTTTTTGTATTATGCCTATATCGGTCATTTTCATTCTTTATTTTGTTAGTAGGGAGGTTGCTAGTTATGGGTAACAATCAACTTTACCCTGTCAAGAACGAGCTATTGCCTCTCAAACTTTAGTTTTCATTAAATTCAATTTTCAGAGAGAGTTGGGTATCTGCCCAGTACCAAGATATCATTGGCAGTAAAACTTAAACTTAAACTATGTGTGTAGAAGGAGCCTGGGTGGTCGTACTAATACCCAAAATTTCATCTGTCTAAATCAATTATTGTCCGAATAACAGATTATCCAAATTTAGTACCATAATAGCCCATTTTAGAATTTTTCTATTAAACAAATAGTTTTCCAATTTGCTAGGTTATGGTATCAACTGAATCAAACTAATATTTTGTGGGGATCTATCTGGGTACTAACCCATCTCACAGAAGGATCATTACCCTCTGCATAGTGCTCTCGTGGACACGCTCTTAAACACTCTTAAACACGTTCCAAATAATTTTTGGCCATTATAAAATATCTAGTATAAGAAAAAAACCAAAAAAAAACAGGGAAGCGAATAGATACGTTAGGTGTCAATACCGAGGCTATATCACTTTGAAGGATAATATTGGTTAAACACCTTCCAAATATAATTTTAACACAGAGATCATAGCTCCGAAAGCAAAAGGAAAACATAGATTCAGTATTATGCATGCAGGCCTACCTCTTTACTTGCAAACTAATTGTCAACGGTTAGGTTAGGTTATGTTGGGTTGTTTTTTTCTAAAACAAAAAAACTAAAACCAAATCAAACCGAGTCAAAAATTAAATGCATCGAACTATTTAATTATCTTGGAGAATTGTTTCATAATCTTGAGGTCACTTCATCAGCTCATATTCTCATCAGGTACATTATCAAATCAGTCACGCTTACTCTTAATTTGTCATTCTAATGTCTTCGTTTCTTTCCATTAACTTAGACTTTCTAAACCCACGACAGCTGAGCTAATGGACAACATATATTGAACATGTATATGGCCGTATAGCAAAAGAAACGCCTTTTCCCGAAGTCGCCGGGGGCTTCTAAAGGCGATTAGAGGCAAAGTATAAACTGTATACAGATCAACGATACACACGGGGGTGCAACTGTTTCATTGTTGCATGTATCTACATAATAAAGTAATTGGTGTTTTGCTATCCGTATTTGATTCTATGTTATCGTCAAGGAGTTTTAATTCTCACGTTTCTTTTGCTGTTCGATATATATACATACATAGTTAAAGAGGGTTAATGAACTGGATGAAGTATGGTAGGAGAGGATGGATTATTGATTACTATGTTGTAACTTTAATGTGGTTAGGTTGCTTTAATTACCAACTTGTAGGTATTTACGTTTCTAATGATAGATGTGGATGTTGAATGCACCAGAGGTGTGTCCCACCGCCACCCAGATACAATTCCCGTTCCGCTGTGAATCGCTAAAACAGCACAGCACGTTATAAAACGCATACGCGATTTCGCTGACAAGGGCAACAATTCATAAAATTTAAAATTTCGATAGACTACTGCATTATTCGTTTTTACTGTTATGGTTATATGAAAATCGGCGAGAAGAATACGTTTCCATCTTATGCTGCCAATTGGCACCCTATGAATCTCTCGCACGCACAAACGTGCGAACCCTGGTGTCCACAAGAAACAGATAGCTTGGTGTAATATAAGCCAATCAGAACACCGATACAGTTATGAGAGAGAGAAAAAAAAATGGGGTTTAACGTCCACTCGACACAAACTATGTCATTTCGGGACTAACATATGGTTTAATTTTATTTCAATAATTCGCTTGCGCGTAGGGGTCTTTAGCAGTGGGAGGAAACCGGAGGACCCGGAGAAAACCCACGAGGTTGGACAGGCAACCTTACTCCTTGTCACGTACAACCGGGGATTCGAAACCACGCCAGCTGACTCAATGACAGGCCTTATGATATAGCACGCACGTGCTAACCATTCGGCCATCCAACCCCCCGATACAGTAATGGTCTCACGAAATAAGCATATACCGTTTGTTTTAGAAATATACAGAATAATTGTTATTGGTGTTCTGATTGGCAAACTGGAAGTGCCCAGATAAAAAAGCCAAATTCCTGCCACCCAGACAAGAAATGAACCATCAAGTGATACGAGCCCTGTTTCAATTACTTGAAACTATTACATTTTTACAAAATTTTCGTCTATACATTTAAATAAGTTAATTATGTTTTACTGAAATAAAAATGAGTAGGGTCGCCTATCCAACCTCATGGGTTTTCTCCGGGTTCTCCGGTTTCCTCCCACTGCTAAAGACCCCTACGCACAAACAAATTATTGAAATAAAATTAATACCATATGTTACATGTAGTTCCGAAATGACCTAGTTTATGTCGAGTGGACGTTAAATCCCATCTCTCTCTCTCTCTCTTCTCTCTCTCTCTCTCTCTCTCTCTGAAATAAAAAGGACGTTAATGGAATTCGTTTATGAAACACGCGATAGTCAAGAAGCCGTGCAAGTTTAAATATATCTCAGCCAGGAAATGTACTCTATTCCGTAATGAAATCAGTAATTAAACCTTTATCCGTCGTTACTGTTTGCATTCGTGCTTTAAAAAAAAAAAACAATTTGTGGCGTGTTATGTATTTTCACGATAGAGTTAAAGTA